AAATCTTCCTCGATATCCCGACCTAACGGCCTCAGTCCTCAGAAGAGTTACTAGAACATTGAAATCACGAGAAAAATGCCTTAAAAGGCAAAATTGCAGTTAAAATATCAATTAGTTTACCCAGGAACCACGAAGTTTGTCGTTTAGTTTACAGCTTCGAAAAGAGAGTCTAAGAAGCGCTTTTGAAGATGTATAAGAAGAGTCGAAGATCATTAGTTTTTGAAACCTTGAGTGTCGAAATATCTTCAACTTTTGAATCCTCGAATGCAATCAAATATTATCGGATCTTGAAAACCCGAGAAGAGCAAAGATTATCAACCATCATAAGCTATATATTTTTTTATTGTATATGTATGTCGTTATGTGAGCCAACTATATATAAATGTATAACAATATAAAAGAGTCTTACATATAGTTTTGAAGTAAATTTAGATCTAACAATCAAGCTTAAATGGAGAGGATTATTATTATTATTATTATTATTATTATTATTATTATTATTATTATTAAAAATCTTTATACAGGATAAAAACATCAGTATTTACAACTATGTATACAATTAAGTTTCACAGGAATAAAACTGCTATACTTGTTTGTCCTGTTGATACCACAGACGAATATCACCATTTCATGTCGTCATTTCGGCTTTATTGTTTTCACTTAGAGCGCCTTTTTAAGAGGAATATTACCTTGGTTCCAGTTTGAAACCATTTTTATTCTACAACAAAGAATTATTTTCAACGAGTCACTCGGTTTTTATCTTTTTGCTATCTTAAAAAACAGTGGACCACCTTGTTCTCCGACAGTTATACATTCTATTTCTGTTAGCGTCTGACCAGGCGTTTCAGACGCGTTGCATGCGAAAACTGTTTTGATTCAAATGTGTTTTTCAAACGCAACTTAATTAATTCAACTCAGTCTGTGCGACTGGTCCCAATTTCAGTACGTTCACTGGGTATATGTGGTACAGTATCGTCATCGGGCTCATGATGCGCGCAGCCAGCCTGATGAATTCGAAGCTCTTCATGACTTCAACGGTTTTCAACGCTCTGCTGTCCACCGCAAGCATCACCCATCCACACCAAGCGACAAAAATAGCCAAGAGAATACAGGTGAAAACCAAGTCGCAACCCTCTGGCGACTCGAAGACAGCAAAAGACTCCTGAATGTTCATCTCCTCCGAGCAGTGAAACTTCTCAAGCGGCGACTTCATGACTGCTGGTGGTTTCGCAGCGCATAACGTGAGTATGACAACTAATATACCACAGACGAATATCACGATCAGGATAATGTATCCGAATGCTTTGAAACGGCCTAAAAGCGTCATGTAACTCACATCCAAATCCAACAATCCGTTCCCTGTCTTCAAGTCGACATAGGCAAGTCCGAATGCAGCCAGCCACGAAGCCACGCTCCAACACACGCAACAGGACAAAGTGTCTTGAGATGGAAGATAGAATTCCAGCACGGTCTTTTGTGTTATGTCCACGAAAATGTGAAATATGGTGCATAGATTGAAGGCGAGATAAAAGAAATATAGCAATTGGTAGTTCCCGGCATTCTTGCAAGAATTGGTCCAAAAGAGAAGGGTTGTTGTCGTAGCTTCGTAGAGGAGATCGCACAAAGCCAAACTGAACAGCATCACGCTATCACATTCTATCTTTTTTGAGAATTTCGGATTTACCAGCAGGAACATAACCAGGAAATTCATGAGCACGGCCGTTGAGGCGCAGGCGATAAAAAACGAGCGCGAATAATCTTGGAAGTTGCTCAGAACGTCGGAGAAATCCATTGGCATGCATTTGCGAAATCGCTTGTCTTAAACTAAAATTATATCTTTGCTTTTGTAATTTTGACACCGTCTCGATTATCTTTCCGTACGATCAGTGACAGTGTATTGAAACTTGTAAATAAAACTGCCTGCTAATCTATACAATATATACTGAAAGATGAAAATGATAACAAGAGACTAATGTCTGGCAAATAAACGGCTATAATTCATCGGAACGTTACTCCTTATATAATCATGGCAGAGTATATTTACATTAAAAATTATTGCATCACTTTCACTACCCAACTGTTGTAGTGCACTTCAAGCTAGACAGTAACACACTAGCTCTTCGTAAATATAAGTGAGCTTCTTTTCAGTAAAGCTGTGCCTGTGTTCTTCCATGGATATCCTATTTCAAGCAAACTATATATCTATCTTGAAACAAGTGGATTTGTGTTGTTATAAGAATTTTTGGATTTTGCTGTGTATTTCTTTTATTCTCGATAGATTTTTATAAGTGTAATCTTACAACTCTCGTATATCAGTTACAGCAAGACGAAATCTTCCTCGATATCCCGACCTAACGGCCTCAGTCCTCAGAAGAGTTACTAGAACATTGAAATCACGAGAAAAATGCCTTAAAAGGCAAAATTCCAGTTAAAATATCAATTAGTTTACCCAGGAACCACGAAGTTTGTCGCTTAGTTTACAGCTTCGAAAAGAGAGTCTATATATATATATAAGAAGCGCTTTTGAAGATGTATAAGAAGAGTCGAAGATCATTAGTTTTTGAAACCTTGAGTGTCGAAATATCTTCAACTTTTGAATCCTCGAATGCAATCAAATATTATCGGATCTTGAAAACCTGAGAAGAGCAAAGATTATCAGACTATCATAAGCTATAAATACTATTGTATTGTACGTCATCACGTGAACTAACTATGTATAAATGTATAACAATATAAAAGAGTTTTACAGTTTTTAAGTAAATTTATATTTCATAATTATCGCAGTTTATTGTTTTCACTTGAGAGCGCCTTTTTTAGAGGAATATTACCTTGGTTCCAGTTTGAAACCATTTCTATTCTACAACAAAGAATTATTTTCAACGAGTCACTCGGTTTTCATCTTTTTGCTATCTTAAAAAAACAGCGGACCACCTTGTTCTCCAACAGTTATACATTCTATTTCTGTTAGAGCCTGACCAGGCGTTTCAGACGTGTTGCATGCGAAAACTGCTTTGATTCAAATATGTTTTTCAAACGCAACTTAACTAAACTCAGTCTGTGCGACAGATCACAATCTAACTACGTTCACTGGGTATATGTGGTACAGTATCGTCATCGGGCTCATGATACGCGCAGCCAGCCTGATGAATTCGAAACTCTTCATGACTTCAACGGTTTTCAACGCTCTGCTGTCCACCGCAAGTATCACCCATCCACACCAAGCGACAAAAATAGCCAAGAGAATACAGGTGAAAACCAAGTCGCAACCCTGTGGCGACTCGAAGACAGCAAAAGACTCCTGAATGTTCATCTCCGGGCAGTGAAACTTCTCAAGCGGCGACTTTTTCATGACTGCTGGTGGTTTCGCAGCGCATAACGTGAGTATGACAACTAATATACTACAGACGAATATCACGATCAGGATAATGTATCCGAATGCTTTGAAACGGCCTAAAAGCGTCATGTAACTCACGTCCAAATCCAACAATCCGTTCCCTGTCTTCAAGTCGACATAGGCAAGTCCGAATGCAGCCAGCCACGAAGCCACGCTCCAACACACGCAACAGGACAAAGTGTCGTGAGATGGAAGATAGAATTCCAGTACGGTCTTTTGTGTTATGTCCACAAAAATGTGAAATATGGTGCATAGATTTAAGGCGAGATAAAAGAAATATAGTGTTTGGTAGTTCCCGGCATCCTTGCAAGAATTGGTCCAAAAGAGCAGGGTTGTTGTCGTAGCTTCGTAGAGGAGATCGCACAAAGCCAAACTGAACAGCATCACGCGATTACATTCTATTTTTTTTTCTGCAAATTTCGGATTTACCAGCAGGAACATAACCAGGAAATTCATGAGCACGGCCGTTGAGGCGCAGGCGATAAAAACGAGCGCGAATAATATTGGAGTTGCTCAGAACGTCAGAGAATCCATTGGTATTTGCCAAATCGCTTGTTTTAACTAAAATTTATCTTGGCTTTTTGTCAGTAATCTTGACTCTCGTTTCTTTACCGTACGAAAGTTTTGAGATTGTCTCTAACACCTCTCCCGATATGAACGCCGTAGGACTAGTGACAGTCAATTGTAACTTGTAAATAAAACTGTATGCTAATCTATATACAATATATACAAGGATGAAAATGAAAACACGAAACCAATATCTAGCAAATAAAAAGCTTTGTTAATAATTACCACTTGTCAAAGTTTGGTGTTCGTAACGTTTCATTGGTCGAGAGCGAATTTTGATGTCGCCAGCGCGACCTCCGGCGCGACCCCCTGCAGAGTCGCAGCGCCGACCCCCTGCTGAGATAACGTGTTATCTCATGGGAAATGACAACTTTTATCCATTTGAAATTGTCTTTTATCAATAGATATTTCGTTGTTTACCTTGTAGTTTGGTTTTTCTTTGACAAGTGGTATATAATAAAAAACTTATTTACTGCGAACGAAGGAAACGTTATGTTTTGTGGACCCGAGACCGAAGTGTTAAATAATTCATCGGAACGTTACAAATAACAAAAAAGATAAAACGCTCCTTATATAATGATAATCAGGGCACCAGAGTATGTTCACATTATATTGCGTCACTTTCACTACGTGTTGTAGTGTTCAAGCAAAAGCAAAAGCTACTTTTGCATTTCTTTCAGTAATGATTAATGCATTGGCATTTATAACAATGATTTCATAGCCCTAAAAATGTTTTTAAAAAACCCTCAAGGCTCAACGCTTGATGCTGCACCAAATACTTTTCAAGGCCATACATTTGAACGTGCATTATTTCGCCAAAATAGTGAAAATACACGCGACACTTGAAATCGTATTTAACCTTTACACAGTTACACTATTTTATTTATTTAAATAAGCAAATTACTGCAGCAAAAGTTCAAAAAGTAAATCACAACTGTGACCTCACTGTATACCGACTTATATATCACTTATGTCCGTGAGCAACATGAAGTATTGCATGTTTTTTAAAAACCAATTATTTAATAAGGGAAATATTTTAGAAGGTTTCAAAACTTTCAATGGCTGGTAATGGCATTTCTAACGCTGGTAATCTTACTTGCAAATTAAAGGTGCTCAAAGAAAAAATTGAGAATGAGTTGGATGGTGTAATGAAGTTTTGGTTGGAAAATTCTCATGATGCTTCTCATGGGTATAAACATATCATACAGGTGTCTAAAAAAACGCAACCACTTAAATATGCAAGAATATTAATATTGTTCCGGTTTGAACAATAGTTCAGCTAAAACGACTTTTGGCATTTTAAATGAAGGATTAAGAGCCATTTTCAATTCCCAGAGGTGCTTATCTATTGCGCTTTAGAGCTGTATTAATGTTCCTGCATATTTAAGTGTTGCGTTTTTTTTTGAGACACCCTGTATTCCTATTTAACAGCTATATATACTGTACATATATTGTACTTTAGCCAAAAATAGAAACTACATTTTGCAGGCATAAATTTATGCAAAATACTAATCTGGCGTGTCATATAACAGCTCTTGATATCACACTCTAAGTATAATGCTGTGAATTTTGCATAGGAACACAAATTTGGTGATAAACTAAATTTGCAGGTCTTGTAATTGCCTGAAGTGGTCACACTAAAATGTGTCAACAATTTGTAATTTCACACACAAAAAAATATCCTGCGTAAAGTGCATTAAGTACAAGTGAACACTTCTGACTCCCCTGCTACTCCAAGTTCAGTGGATTCATTGTACAATAAAAACATTATTCATGGCTGTTTTAAGGGGATTTCACAATTGTTTGGATAAAAATGGACAGGTTTATGATACAACAAAATACGGATGGTTACAAGGTCGACAGGTAAATTGATTTCTATAATCTAGGTCAAGTGCACAAATAGTTACAGTGCTGATATACATATAGTGCTGACTTGTCTGCTGAAGTTTTAACAATATACCTGGCTGCTGTAATCAATTGTTTCTTCAAAATATAAAGGTTTGGATGTATTGCAAGTTGTACAATACAACACAAAAATATCACACGGAAGAGATTCTGGCTGCAGCAAGAAAAGGTTAGTTTATCTAAAGCATCAAATGTAGTATAATTAACAACTGCCTAAATTATATTTGTTTATCTAAAATTTGAATGCGAGTTGCAGAAATGCTTCTAACAGATCTATGCATGATTGGGGTAAATGAATTAGGACATGGCAGTCTGGGTGTCCTTACGAAGTCCAAAAACAAAACAATTATGAACTGTGCATGATTTAATTGTTGACATGTATTGTGACACAAACCAATTTTGAAAGACAGTGAAACAATATTGATGATACTTGCAGTGGCGTAGCCAGAACGATAATTGGGGGAACGATAATTCATTTATTCGTGATACGCAGGATTAATTTCTTTTCAAATCAATTGTCTTTACAGTCTGTTTACATGAATATAAGAATATGGACCCCCCACCCAATTATCGATGCTCGCTACACCACTGGATACTTGGGATTTCATAGTATCAGGCAGAATGCGAAGTAACTTGATCTTGGGAGAAATAAACCATATATAATGTCACTTTTGCTAACACAGTTTTGTCATGGAAAATACGCATTCTTACACAGATTAACCTTGGGATGAACAAGTGCTTTGCAAAGTGCATATAATTCTTTCAGGTGGGGATTTTCTTCAATCCTACTTCAAAAGGCCTGAGGACAACAAGTGTTATTTTGCAACTACTTGTGATGGAAAACCAATAAAAATGCAGCGAACGATCTTCTGTGAGTGTTTCTACATCATGGCAATGACTGGACTCTACCAGGCAACCAATGAAAGTAAATACAAGGTGAGCGTATGTCACAAGCTCTTGTGTATTTGTTGAGAGGGTCAAACTATTGATATATGGATGCACATGGAATACACATCACAACTCTTCAAAGGTAAAATTTTAATGTGCAACTTTGGTTCATTCATATAAATGGCTCAGGTGCTGATCTAAAACCAAGGGTTAGAATTCTATTTCCTGCATCCATTGCTAAGAACAAATTGAAAGTGAATATAATACATTCTCTGAGTGTCCCTATGTATGTCTAGGATGAAGCCATCTCTGTCCTGTCTTCTGTTCTTCATTGGATTCATGTGGATGACAGCAGCCTTGGAAGACCTAAGTTGACTGGGTCACCTCCAGTGAATAAAATGAGCATTCCTATGATGGTCATCTGTGTTTTAAATGAGGTCTGTGATGACAAGGAAATGGCATCACAGTATGAAGGGGAACTGCAATGGGCGGTTAATGAAATCTTAAAACATGTCCAGGTGCGTCGACTGAATGTGACTGACGAGGGAAGATCGGTTTTTGTCGAGGGGAGCAAGTCGAGGGTCGAGTCGACGTTAATTGTGCTTCCAAATGCGATTCCTCTAATATAAACGTCTGGTGTTGTAGCTCAGAAATATTTGTATCTAGTTTGAATTACACAAGCCTTGTCAAGATACAAATCAAATCTACGGGTGCACTAACTTTTACCTTTCAGAGAAACGGGACTGTTATCTTAGAAAATGTTGATGTGGACGGTCACGAGATTCCAGGATGCGAAGGGCGTCTCATCAACCCAGGCCATGCCATAGAGGCGGGCTGGTTTCTTTTGAACCACGCCCAAGCTTGTGGCGATGATGACCTAAAACGCACTGCGATAGAAAAATTCATAGAATTACCCTTCGCGATAGGTTGGGATTTTGAGAATTCAGGATTGTATTACTTTTTGGACGCTGATGGTTTTTCACCAACGCAACTGGAGTGGAATATGAAATTGTGGTGGCCGCATTGCGAAGCTCTGATCGCGTTTCTCATGGCTTACAAAGAGACAAAATGTTTGAAACATTTTGAAAGTTTCTGCAAAGTAATTCAGTACACCTGGACTCATGTGAGTTCATGTCTGTACCTTTTTATCAACCAATGCTCTAGGTTATCAAGCATCAGTTACACTGACTCAGTCACTCAGATATATGACTCAGTTGAATTAATCGAAAAATCTATCATGAGTATCATCAAATAATCAATGAATAATTATCCTAATTATACCATCAGTACATAATAGACTTGATTATCATTAGATGGTGTAAGATTATGATCAATACAACGATAATTAAATTATCGATAAATCGAATTCGTAGATTATATGCCAGATTGATGATCAGTTAATCAATTGAAAAAGAAAGAACGAGTATATCAGTGGATAATGGTTGAACGGATAACTATTGGAATGATTCATCAGATTCAAGTGTTATAAAAACTTGTCTAGGTATTGATAAAGAATGATTGATTTGAAGTCAATTAACTTATCAACTGATAACGAGAAAAGCCGTAGTTTTAACTAAAAGAATCTGTTGTTTTTCAGTTTAAAGACGATGAAAGTCAAGAATGGTTTGGTTATCTGAATGAAAAAGGAGAAATTACACACAGGTTTAAAGGAGGTCCATTTAAAGGTTGTTTCCACGTGCCACGTGCATTGTTCATGTGCAGCAAGATGATAGATGAAATCATAACATTAAACTGTCAAGTTTAGCTGTGTATTAGACTATTAGCTAAGGTTTTAATAATGCATTATGACTTGAGTGACATCTATGTTTTTGTACAATGTACATAACTAGAAATCAGTACAAATCTTCATCCCAAATAAAGTTGTTTTAAAAAGTGAAAAAAAAAGGCAAAACTTGGCCCTTGAGCGTAACTATCATGGTAAGATCGATTAAACTGGAATATGGTATATTCGACAATGGTAAGGTCCAACTGGGTCCAACCATGGGTCCAACAAGAACAAGCAACAATGAACAATATTCCTTTATCGGAATCAATCGTATGTTCTTCGGCATCCTTCGTTCTCAGTTCGGCCTTCTTGCTTCACGTGTACGAAAATTAGCGATTTTTTTGCAAATTGCTTACACAAAGAAAATATTGAAGAAAATTATGGCTTCAAGACTTATTCGAAGAGTAATTAGCACTCCAAACGCCCCGAAGGCTGGGGGACCGTACAGGTAGTGATTGAAAGAGTACTTGACGGATCTTTTGAGATGATTTTTTATAAAGCGGTGTATAAATATTTTGCAGCCAAGCTATTGTGGCAGATCGTACGATTTACGTGGCAGGACAGCTCGGATTGGACCCGAAGGTAAAATGCTCTTTTGTACTTGATCTGTACCGGCCTTATTCTTATATTAGACTTTCTTGCAAACTATTTTGTACAAGGGAGTACAAGTATTACCGTGGACAAATATTTGTATTTTCGAAATTCCAATAAATTGATTTTACGTCACTTTCGTATAAGATTTAAATTTGGGCCAGCCAAGCCAGCCAATAATTGAAACCAGTTATTGCAATCTGACAGTTGTTCCCTGAATATATCAGTGTGCTGTGCTTTGTAGTAAACATGTGTATTTTGTATTTTTTGCTTTGATGCAGTGTGGGTTTGGGAAACATTACCAAACATTTGAGATTGGCTCCCAAAACTCTCAGTAAAGAAGAGCTTTAGAATTTTAAATGACCCCACATCTTGCAAAAGTATCCATCTCATAGTTCAGATATTTCCCTACTTTATTATACCCTCTGCCTCAAACGGATATTGTCTCTAAATACAAAAGGAACCAAAGGTTAATTTTAAGTTTAATCTAGGAAAATTACTTCTTAGTGGACCTGACCAAACTCCCATATAAGATTACCACACCCAAAGAATGTATTAATTTTGCAATGTTTCTTTAAGTACAGTATAGATTTCTTTGCTTCTTTTGTTCTTGATTATGGAAATTTGTGCATGATTGAAACAAATTATATTTTTACATTGTAATTTTCTAATGGCATGCCATCAGTTGAAATAAAGCCAAGTTTTGAAATCTAATAATGACTGTGATTTTTTTGCTAAATCGAGTTTATATGAATATGAATATTTTTAATTAGGACTCCAAAATGGTTGGCACTGATGTTCAATCACAGACTAGACAGGTAAATCAATGTTCATTTTATGACCATACCAGACTACCACTATGTTAACGAAACAAACTTATAGTGAAATAAAACATTTAAGAAGCATTAGGTCTAGAGGTATTGATACCTTTTCTTCTTATAACCAGGCTCTCAGCAATCTAAAAAATATTTTGGAAGCTGGGCATTCCTCACTGGAAAAGGTTGTAAAAGTTACTGTGTACTTGGCTGATATCAAGGACTATGATGAGATGAATAAAGTTTACTCTGAATGTAAGGACGTTTTCCCTGCTTTGATGTTGCTAGTGCGATGATGCTTTTAATGACTTTGCCTTTGCCGTTTTGTAGTTTTCAAAGAAGCAAGGCCTGCCCGTGTGGCCCTTGAAGTTGCACAATTACCAAAAGTTAGTCTTATTAGCAAACTACAATACAATAATACAGAGGACAAGGAGGTTGGCGAATTAAGCCTAAAGTTGAATAAAATCTTCCTGACATTCCTCTTTCATAGTATAAAAATAATGAAAGCTCTCCTTTCACCAATTTTGCAATTTGTGTTGAATTTTTTTTTATCTATATAATCAACATATTAAACAGTTGACAGCCACCTTGGTGCCAAATGATATTTACCTCATACCACTTCTGTTTCTTTTACATAGAGTGCTCGTGTTGAAATTGATGCAATTGGTATGGTTGGTGATGTTGAAATGGACAATGCACAGGCAAATTTGTAATGTTATTATGAAAGAATAGCATACTATATGTAGTAGAGTGTTGATGGAAAGTGTCCAGATTGGCACATTAAATACAAATGGACCACATTACCAATACCAAGTAATGCATTTTATGAAAAGGGAAAAGGCATCCTAGAATCCCGTGTGTAGACTAGACTCTAAGTTTGTTCACGCACCAAATCTATGCCTTATCATAGTTTGAAATATTCGCTAAACAATTCTATATAAGTCATTTTTTGAGCTTCTTCTGGTTACCTTGTGTGTTTTAAAAGGAGAGAATGTCTTTCCTAGCATGTTTTTCATGTGACAGTTTCGTTTTAAACTGATCAGCCTGATTGGTCAAAAACGAAATTCTTCCTTGGCAAGTAATTGTTGATTGCATTTTGTCGGGATGCACCAACGGTCGCAAAATTTTTTGCAAAAGTTTAACACAACAAAAGAACGAAGGAAGTAAAATCTCTTTTCTTCAAAGAACGTTAATTTTCTTCATAGATGAAAATACCCCCTATTAATATGAAGCAGTTTTGCTTGAAGAAAAAGTGAGTTTTTATTGTGAATATAGGTAATGTTGTCTCGCAATTAATTTACACATTGATGCAATGTTTATAGCGTACAAAATGATAGTGAACCTTTACATGGTCTTTGAATGCTGTATACAATATTTAACTAGAATATGCGTATTTACAAATAGTTCGTGCCTGGCTATAATGCCATTTAATTCAATAGTAGTTTTGCAATAAGATAGCCCTACTCCCCAGACCCTTCTTCGGCCGCAGGTTCATCGGCTGCTGGCTCGGGGTTTTGTTCATTTGCAGGCTCAGCTGCTGACTCTTCCTCAGTCCCTTTTTCAGTTTCCTCTGGCTGTGCTTCCGCAGGAGTTGCCGCCTCTTCCTCAGGTTTTGATTCATCTGCATTTGCTTGTTCTGATGTTTCAGGATCAGCGGTACCAGTCTCGGTATTTTCGCATTCCTCAGGCGCTTTGGCCGAATCTTCCACTTGACTTTCATCCTTTTCCGCCTGAGCTTCGCCGCTTCCATTATTATCAGCGGCATTATCGTCGTCTTTTACTTCATCTTGTGCAGGTGCATCGTTTCCTGCTGAATTTTCCGCGGGCTTTACGTCCTCTTCCGAAGGCTTTTCCGTGTCCCCTTCTGCTGGTTTTCCATCTTCCGAAGGTTTTCCGTCTTCCGAAGGTTTTCCATCTTCCGAAGGTTTCCCATCTTCCGAATCTTTTGCCGCGTCTTCCTCGGTAGGGTTTGCATTTTCCTCCGAAGGTTTGGTCTCTTCCGACGGCTTCCCGTCTGTCGCCGAGGTTGCCTCGACGTTTTCCGAAGTTGTCTGTTCGTTAGCATCATTATCAATAGACTCAACGTGGTTTGCCTGCTGGCTGCTTTCGGGCGCATCACTGGGACTCGCCTCCGGATCGCTAAACTTTTCGACCGCCTCCTCGCCGATGGGACCCTCCCGTTCGTCCGCAGCTGGCTTCCCAGCTGTTCCTAGAAAAAAGCAAAAAAAATATTTGATCATTCTGGATTAAAAATAGACGGGCACTAGATTCCCATTATGACGTCCACGACTTGCAGTATTTGCACAACGCGATCCGGCTAAAAGAATGATGATGGGAATATCGATTTATTAGGTGTAAATTAGTTACATATTGATGAACTCTTGGGAATGTACCAATATGATATTTATTCCCCTATAGGGTTCTGAGTTACACGTATTTAAAACTATCTTTTTTTCCTATTAACTTTTTGTCTGTGACATCCCTATTTGATCAAACGGTTATTTTTCATATAAAATGAAACTGGCAAAGAAAGTTCGCTCGTGTGAATGGGAGCAATCCTTGGACGCATCTTGCTGTAATGCGCAGTCTCACACACCGACAGTCTGCAGTCTTCATCAAATGAATAAAAATATACAATAAAATAAGTCACTTCATATAGATAACCATACACAATAATTTTCAATTGTTTTGATGCAGATGAAAAATTCGCCCATTTGGCTTCAGTGCGAACAACTTGTTAAAAGAATAAAGAAAGATGTTTTTAATCAAATATTAAAATTTTTCATGTTTGTACGTGCATGCAGCATGCAATACAGGCGGCTTCGAGCACACACAATTGTCAATATTTTACGCGTTACCATAGAGACTGTCCCACGTTTGTGCCGATAAAACTAATGATTTACGTCCGAATCAGGGGATGGCTCCTGTATTATTAAGTTTGTTTGATCAATTCTCCGCGTCAAACGTTTACAAAACAATGTTTTGGTTGTTTTAGCAACTACGCTGTGTTTATTGTCTCACGGCTTGAAAATATCCTCCATTCTTTCAGAGTAATTTATGATATGCTTTGATCAGATGTTCCCCCTAATTCGTATTCTTTGTCTTATATAATGAGCTCTATTTTATGAACATTCAACCGAACTAGAAGCTTAATTTTAACGAAGAAATAACTTTTCTTTAAATCTTCTTCTATTTCGCTTAATAAAGCATTAAGCTCCATTCGCCGCAATTGCGTAGACGTATGGTGTTTAATTTATTCCGAATGGCTGACTTTGATGGCTTGAAATGACATTGCATGCTGTTGGAGAAAATATTTGCATGAAGGTGTTTATATTACAACGTTATTTTAGCATGTGCCCTTTGAGCTTACGAACAAAATTAAACCAAATACACGTCAAAAAGCTGTGAAAACAAAATGCCAGATATATGTCAATCCTGTGTAACGTACGAGGCTGACGCAATGCTGTAACTTTGAATCTCTTTTATCCGCGCGAGACTTTCGAAGAATTGGGTTTTCATACATGCAAACTAGTGTGATTCTCCATTGAATATATACCACAGGTTTTATGATGCATTACGATCAGGACTACGAAACAATACGTTACAAACTTACAGTGGCAACGTCAAAAATACAGGTTGCCATGACACAAAATATAGAGGAAGAACAGCATTCATTTTCCATGCAGTGAAAACCTTACTCGCGTTTATCGCGTGTGTGTAACGAGTTCAACTTAATTGGAGTATCTTTGCACATGTACTTTTTCCAGAAACCAGACAGTATTACAAAATATGGAATATCTGCGGTTTATATTACATGCGGTTTTCATGCACTTGGGGTTTTATATAATATCAGGTAGAATTGTACAGAACTGATTATATATACTCATCATTAGTAGACAATGATAATTCATACAAAAAAAAATGAATCAGAATAAATATGGGAATGGAAGGCGGTATAAATTAACGTCGATAAGGAGTTGTTCTGATAAGCAATGCTTAGTCTGTCATGAAGCTACATTGTCTGTACACAACGCCAACTTTTGACCCTGTGAAGTTTTTTTATGAACCATATATGCTTCTTACGTGGGGGAGAGCGTTTTTTAACGTTCCGGTTTTCATGCATTGACAGAAAACAACGAAAATCAATCCAGTTTAACAGTTTAGACATTGCCATTGGTAGCAAAATCACATACATTCATGGAGAAGTTTTCTCGCGAGTCACGTTTGGAAACGCTAATATATACGCCTTCTCACGTTAAACGATATGTCAAAATTCTCGTTACACTATTAATGTGTAAGGTCAGATTCCTCAGGCTTGGACACTCAGTAGCAAAAGTGTTGCTGAAAAGTCGAACGAATTGTTTGGGAAAATTTAATGCATGTCTATGGTCCTTCCAGTGGGTGGTAATGTCGAGTATATCATATCTACTAATCTTTCGTGCGTCAATGCCATTGGCTTTGAACCCAGAATTGAACTCGCTTGCACTTTAAACATGAGATTGAACCATTAAACATGCAAAAACTGCGATTAAAGTATTTGCGAAATTCAGTGACCCGGTGAAATGTCCTCAGAACCATGTTGAAACTGGAGGCTCAGACGTTTGCACAGTCGGTGCGTCGTTACGGTAACAGTGTGTTTAAAATTTACGGTAATTTTATTAAGTACATCGCCGATGAATTTGTAAATTGTAGCTTCTAAATAAAACGAACTCTTGCATGAGAGAGAAGTCTAGTCCACCCGGAATGAATACTGTTGAAAATTAGCACTATAGTGTCCTTACCGCAATCTATATAAAGCGAGATACGAACTCTATATACCCCTGTACTTTTACTGAATATAATTCATAATTTATTTAGGGTAGATATGTATAAATAGCACAATTTTCTCAGGCGCTGTTTAAAATGAGATTAGTTGCTATAGCCTCGTCAATATCCACATGCTTAAATATTAAGCATTTTTTCGTCTAATTTTAAAAACCGCAATCATGCTACTAGAAAAAGATTCTCCAAATGGGGGGCTAGATTTTTGTGTAAGAATATTATATCTATATATATTGAAATACACTGGGCGAATCCCGACGCGAATCCCTGTCAATCCAGATGGCCATAGTAACCAGTTGTTCAGTCTTAGCCTTCCGTGCATTAGTTCTCTATAGATCTATGAATTTAGACGCACGTATGTTTAAATCTCGACGAGTTAGTACATATACCTGGGTCTTTTGCGCCGTCTTCATTTTGCGGCGAGATTTTGCGATTTTGACCTTCAGTTTGATTGTTATTCGTCTCGGACGAGAGACCAGGTTTCCCTTGTGGCGCCGTCGACGCGACAACCGCAGTAGCCGACCTACTGTTGCCACAGCCCATAATTTCTTACTAACAGAGCTTACGCGTTGCGATTAGTCTTTCTTCTGATCTAATAAAGCGATAATCTTCTCGTCGCTGGCTTTGCAAAGTACACTAAAGTTGTCCGTTTGATCTTTTGATGTTTACTTGTACGGCATCGAAACATTCTGATTATATATGCGACAACTGATTTAGGACAGCTTTGCGCCATCTGATTCGCTAACGTTGTTTACCCGTTGCCAAGCGACGCGTTGGATAAACACAGTTTAGTGAAATAGTGGTATTAAGTTTCATAGCATTGCCTTCCCATGGATGCGGTGGATCATGAATGAATAAAAATGTCCTCAGTACTTGGTCACGAAAGCCTTCGGTCAAGGTTCGATATATTTTGTTACACGGCTCAATTCAAGGCTCGAATCGCGATTTTTAAGCAGGAGACCGTTGATAGATAAGTTCGAAATATGACTATGATGATCAGAATGAATTAAACTACATCTTCTATAAGTTGAGAAGTCTGAAATGTATACTGCGAAATGTACAAACGAAAAGGCTGTAGGAATCGCCCGAGTTTGGGGCACGTTTTTTCTCTCGATAGATGCAAACAAGTCAATAGTTTTGAGTGTTCTCATGTATAAGTGCCCTTATTTAAACATCAACGGACCAACCACTTTTTCACATCTATCAAAAGCAGAAAATGACAGCGAAAATTGTGCATGAAGCCGCTTTCTTACTGCCTGAAAATATTTGAATGATAAACAGTATCTAATGGTAACCAATATGCTTTCAATCCATGACAGCAATATAGAATAACGATCAGACTAATTTAGATAATTTCTCAAATTATAGTCAATTAGCCAAATGTGGAGACGAACGGCTGCGACCCCATGCCATTCAATGACCTTCCCAAATGTCTTCATACTGATACCTCACCTAACTACCGGGATATCATGATGAGTAAAAGCTCGGTCAGAAAGATCAACTAACAAGTGCAAGCTAGATATACAGTTACTTGATGTGGTCTGATGTGTTCCAATGATGTCAAGATAGCTTGGTTTCAAAGTAAAGCGCCTTTGGGTAAAAATGATGTACGTGTACGGTAGTACCCATGTACCTGATCTGTGTGACTTCACTGTGGTGTAGTGGACCGGAGCTAGCCTCCTCCGCAGGCATCTCTTATGTATTTATATTAGGCATTTATATTTGGCTTGGGTTAGCTGTGTCAGGGTCTCAGGTAGTGAGAAAAAAATTTGCGTGAGATGCCTGCCATAAATCGAACAAAATGGACGTGTCGCTGTACCTTGTGGACTTGTCACTGCACCCCGGGTCCCCTAAGTAGTTTTGCACTCTAATTATATATTCACGATTGTCCTTCAATGCGAAGGATTGAAAGAAGTTCGAAAGTAGCGAAGCTTTGAAAATGTCTTTTACAGTATCTCTCCCACTTTTTCCCTCGCCTTCCCCGACACAGCTAAACCAAGTCAAATATAAATGCCTAATATAAATACATACGAGATGCCTGCGGAGGAGGCTAGACCGGAGCACAGCTCTCCCCAATGACCAGCCTATTCCCAGAATGCAAGGCGCGGTAAAGAGGACTAGGGACTAGTCTGCCCAATGACAAAAAGGGAAATGCGCTGGAAGTTGCTTCCCCCGATGGATAGCGGGCTCTGGTTTCGTGATTGCATAAACCGTGGGAGTTAATACCCGTCGATGCTGAAAAAATGACCGAAGTATTATTCATCTTATGTGTGGACATGTGATCCTTTGTAATCCGTCGACCGTCGCGCATATCATGATTCGTGGTATTTAGCATTCGAATGAGCAGTGAACAACTTTTTTGCGCTGGACATCGTAATTGTTTCTATTATTAAAAAGGACTGACCATGGCAGAATTCAATGAACCCGACCAAACCGATACTGTCGACCTGCTACAAGCTTTCGCCAGCTTTGACAGATTTCGAACTATGGTAAATACGCTCTTGACTGCTTTAGAAAGCGCAAACTCGGCGTCAGCGACTGTTCTCGCCCTTGAAGGTCTCTTCCGCATTGAGGATGGTGTTCAAAGCCAACAGTTTTCATTGGATCCTTCGCTTCGCCTAAGAATACGCAAAGTTCTACGTCAATGGCGATGCAACTCAAACCTGGAGTTTGCATACGTGATAGTAGGCAAAAGAGTGCCTGATATTCTCAGAAATCTTACTATCTTCGCGACCTTCAAAATCCCGTTGTTCGTCGATGATTACGGACAGAAGAAATTGATGAACATTTTTAACGACGAACAGCTTGTTAATATCGATATTGATTTGCAAACACCAATCGTACACGTGACCCACTGCAGCGAAAAAGAAAATATTTTGAAAGCTCGTAAGTTCGTACCGAGTGATAATAAAAATATCATCGCGGGAACGTGGTTTTCCCCAGAGAATCAACTTGGTTGGCCACCACGCAGTGTTTATGGAAGTTGGGCATTTGAGACGACACTTGAGAAGTTAGGCGTTGAATGCATACGTCAAGGTGAAATTGTTTCTTACAAAGACGAAGTCAATTTTATTCTATACGCTGGCAGGAGAGATGAAGATGAATTTGCCGTTCTATGCCCGAGGAAGGCGACTGACGAGGCCGCTAAAGAAATTCAAGGCAGGGTGACCGCTTATACTGCCGTGTCTATATTCGTACCGTCAGAATTTCTGCCAAACCCATTAACATTTGACAACGCAATAACGGGTCCATTTAAAGTTCACCACATCCCTTTTTGCGTGCGTGCCTTCCGCAACTTCACCAGCTGTCAAGAATTAGATGCATGACGAATGAAATAAAGTGGTAACAACGTTCTTCACAGAAGCCTGTATATAGTACATACATTAAATTGCAAAACCTAACACTGTAAGTGTAAGACAAGGTTGATTATACATGTTAATGACATACAGAGTTGATTCAAAGTAATACCATTGATGAAAAACAGAATTATAAACTTAATATGCTTAGTTAACTGTACCCGAATCACGTACAAGAAGTCTCCTCACTTTCTCGCAGTTTTTTCAACTTCGTATTCTATGACTATGTGCGGTCTAATTGTTCATGTACCGATGTATTTTATGAACTTTTATTAAATTTTATGAATTTATAGTGTTTATATCTATATTATGTGCTTAAATTATTTTATTACAGGACCCCATTGAAAAGCACCTCGATCGGACTGGGTCACATGGGCCAACTGTTGAAATATAATTTCTATATCTAGTAGGCTGTTGTGATTGGAGGGAGTCTGCATGGCTGCGATATCTGTCAGCGGCTAATCGCCAAAGTTATTATTAACTCCATATTTAACCAGGATACGCTGGATACCCACATCACTGAAGTGTTTTTCAGTTATATATGATTACGTGATTCGCCACCAACATATATGCAAGCCTGGTCCCACTCTTCAAGTGACTCAAGCTTATTCTAGGGTAACCTCTAGAATATTCCTGCATCGAGTAAAGTGCCAAAAATCATAATTGATTTACCCTCACCTATTCCCGGCATTACCATCAGGTATACACATTAACCCAACCTCGTACCCAGGGTCTTCGTGGAGCGTAGGTAAAAGACCCTGGGTACGAGGTTGACATTAATCACGCTTGCTCTTGTCAGCTACCTCTGTAGCTCAGTGGCAAGAGCATTGCACCGGCATCGCAAAAGCGTAGGTTCGATTCCTGCCGGAGGATCTATAGTTGACTCATTTTTCCATCAACTATTCCTGGCTTGAATTTGAAGTGTGTATAATACCACTCGAAATTAAGACCCTTTATAATACCACTCGAAATTAAACCACTAGAATATTCCTGCATCGAGTGAAGTGCCAAAAATCATATTTGACTTTGGCTTAGTTCATACGTTTAGTCGCGTTGAATGCCATTCAAACAACATATAGTGGATTAGTGCATTATTATTTCATAACTTCCCTCATTCAGTGAAGTTCCGAGCAATTATTTGGATGCATGTGAAATATCTTTATTTATCTAAGCAGGCAGGTCAGCAGGACCATACTTGAACATCGCCGGGGGGGGGTTTCATGCCTCCCAAAGCCGCTACAAGCAAAATTCTCGAAAATTGGACAATCAAGTCAACTACCTTTCATATGATGGAGTTTTCCTTTGAGATATGTGGCAGCAAAACTAATCAGATCTTCCGGCTGTTCAGCCAAGATTTGCTTCGATAAGTCCGCCATGAGTGTTTCAAAAGTATGCGGAACGCTTATCTTTGTAGGCGCGTAAGATACAGACATATTGTAACAATCCTCGTTAATTTCTAACGCCTTTTACATCCAATTTTTACCAGCAATTATGCATCCTTTTTTGAGTTTTTTCGATGATTGTTGTGGTTTGCGCGCGCCAATCATTTAGCACGTCAGCAAACGATGTCGTCATTCGAATCGTGAATAAATTTTTGAATAAATTAAAACTCCTTATCCGGATTTACAAAGCCAAATCGCAAAGAATATAAATATTACTGCTCGGACAGATAATCAGTAGTTCAGTGTGTTAAAATGTTGGCTGATGCACAATTGGGCATTTTCCAGCTCTATTAATTTTTTACCCTCTACCAAAGGGTGAAAACTTCATTGAGTTTTGAAATTTCTCAAACAATCACTATCGGTTGATTTTTTCAAAATACACATTGGCATTGCAGCTTCTTCGCAAATCAGAATGGTGTAAATGCCTGAGGCAGGCAATTATTACAGTATTGACAAATACGATTAAATATATATGTATACCTCAGACCAACCCTTGCATATACACAATGTGTGTTATGTAGACCACAACAATGAAAGTAAAAATAAAATGAAGTATAATTAACCCAATCACGAAGCAAAACTGCATCAGTAAAACTGCATTCCAAATATTCAGCACTGTTTTTATAGTATATGTCGTGTCATAGACAGTCCAGAAACGAGTAGTATTTATTCTAAAAACTACACACAGCGCATCTGCATGGATCATAGATTTGTTGCAAGTTAAACAGCAGGCTGTTACACAAAAAGTTTTATAGAAATGCTTAATAAAGCTACTTTTGACGCTGAAATAATTACAATAGTAATTACGAATAGTCCAGTCATCATCAATGGCACCAGCGCTGATATAAACAAGCTTTCGGTTACTGTTTTACGATATCATTTCAACAGTAAACTGAAGTGTTTCAGCCTTGCGAAAACGTTTCTTTTTGAAAGACGAAGTCAAAGTGTTCTATTTTTTTCCTCTCGGCCTTAGTTCGTCCATGCAACTGCGAAGTAAAATCATCGGTTTTACGGATGGATTGAAGTATTCGTGTCCCTGAAAAAGATGTGAAATATATACAATCATTTAACGGTGCATGTGCAGTCTTGCTCGTTCTTACGACATTTGTTAGTGTATATTTCATGCACAATACCTTTGACCAGTCGTAGCAGACGGAGTAGGCGAAAATGGTACCAGACGAGTCAAAACCACATGCGGATATTGGTAAACTTGCCGCAGGATCTGAAGTCTAAAAAGAATAACACGGAGCATTTTAGTGTCTTGAAATCCGATCAATGCATCAATCATGCAGTTTTACTGTACAGGAAACACGATTTGTCAGATGAGCCCAAACGTACATGTACTGACTACCGTTTTAAAGACGTGTTTCTAAGCAAAAGTTAAAATACAAACTAATGCAAATACCTTTAATTTCGTACGAGCGTCTTTGTCCCAAAAACTAAACTTGCCGTCTGATCCAACGGTCGCTAACGTGCCAAATTGAGGATGAAATGATATGCCGTTAACCTGAAACAAAAGAAAATATTCCACTTGGTTTTCCATCGAAATTTGTTGAATTACGTGCAGGCATACATCAGCAGTGATGTATTTCCTAAGACAAAAGTCACGGTATATATGGACCAATTACATAATAGACCAACTTTTGATTTAGGTGACAAAAAAGGAATTTCCGAAAAGTGCATACAAAACTTAGTAAGATTGCCAAGTTTGGCTGTGAAATATTGTAAAGTACCGAAGATATAGCCATGCGAAGTTGGTGAATTTTGTATACTTTGTATTACGACCGAACGTGTGTAACTAAATTAGTTACACGCTTCCGGCCGTAGTAGAAATGTATACAAAATTGGCAACTTCGGATGGCTATATATTTCGTACTACTTGAGATTTTGCAACCAAACTTGGCAATTTAACTAATTTTGGTATGCTCTTTTTAGCTGTGGTTATTTATTTCCTGCTTGTCACCTAGATCTGAAGTTAGTCTATTGTGCAAGTGGTCCATTGAAACGACTTGAAATTCGTACAGCGTATATATCTTGCATACTACTTGAACTGGTTGTATTACTTCTGTGGCATTTGAAAGTGAAATTATCTTTCCTGAAAAGTTACAGAAAATGACTTGAGAAACGATTTAAATACACAACGTTTTATGTGTCAAGGTTTCGACTCACGGATTTGTTGGATTAATATAATGGATTGCCACTCTTCCCTCAACGGATCCCAAAGCGAATCCTGTTGGCTGGTGGTTCTTATCTTTGAAAATCGTCACACAACGGTGCTACGAGAGAAATTTATTTAATTTATCACATCACGACCGACTGAAACAGTGAATATCACTTGCACTAGGAATAATTAAGAATACGTAGTATTGGACAAATGTATTTTGATCGCCATTAAAACCATTCTGTCCGTGAATATGACTTTACTGAAAATTTGTCAGGTGAAGAAAGAAAACGGCTACACTGTGCAACTAGTTGACATCCTTTTCTTCAACCCATCATTGAAAAACACGTTTCATGCATATGCAGCCTTTTAGGCAAATATTGCTTCGGTTTGAACAAGCTTTCTTACTTGATATTTCAACGGAGATTCTATTTTCTGCAAAATAGAAAGAAAAATGTCGATAGCAAATTTGTGGTCGAGAACGTTTACGGCCCCAGACCAGTTTCAAAGCAGTTAAGAAAACTTGTCACTTTTCACACCTTAAATTCACGTGGTTGGTTATCCAATTGGTAGCAAAGGATCCCTCGTTGGGCCGTGCCAACAATCGCCATGGGATATACAATGTCTGCACAATAGCATCGTTCTGGCAGTTGAAATGTCGCAACAGGGGTTGCCTGTCGCATGTCCCAGAATTTCAGCGTCTTGTCCCAACTTCCTGTTACTATACAGGAATAGTTAGGTGCTTGGACGAAATTCACCGTTTTGATTGGCTGGTCGTGCTATTGAGAAAGAGAGTATATTTTTACACAGCAACACCAGCATGAGTTAAATACATTGTGTTGCACAGTGCTGTTCCACCAGACTTGATTAAAGATATAATATTTGTCTCAATAGCTTCAAAATCATTTATCCATTAGTAATTAATACCTGAGCAACAACTGCACATTGATTGCTACCTAAATCCCACATTTTACATTGCTTGTCGACACCTGCTGTGAACACCTTGCTTCCATCCTTCAAAAGAAATAATTTGTATTCCTTGTTGTCTATCAAAATTTCTGCTATACTTGAGGCGGTAATCTCATATAAATTGGGGTTATGCATGGTCTTGTCGCTACATATTATGGGTTTCTGAATTGATGTTTCAATGCACCTAATACTAAGTAATGTGTAGTTCCAAATGGTACTGTGTGTTCATGGGTTAACCCTATAACCCTCTCTTACACAGATTGAAAACAACTTACATCATGCCAACAGCAATCTAAAATTGGCCCTTGATGTGTTTGTTGTGCTTTCGGGACAGCGGCATTGCTTGTGATCTCCCAACATCGAACCTATTTCAAAATAAACCAAGACATTCAGCAAGTTTATTTAAATATAAATTCAGGTATAGGTTTTAGACCCACTGTTGCAAATCACCATATTACAAGGGATATGTGTTAAGCTTTGAGATTTGCATGAAAAAAAGATCCTTAGTGGACACATTATATTCATATTATGAATAAAAAGGGTTTTTCAGTGCTGTTAACTGTTTAATTAAGGGGTGACTTAGTGACTTTAGATAATTTAGCATATTTCATAAGGTGATAAATTTTCCTCCCATGTGCTGCATTTCAGTGTTGGCAAAATAACTAATATCACTGGTTCATCTGGAGTTCATTCACAAGTTTGTGTAAAGTAGCTTCGAGAATATACCACAAGGTTCATGGTTAACCATGTGTGTGACATAATTGAGCTTTAGTGAGGGTGATAATGTTTAATAATATTTTGCAAGGGTGATGATTTCATATTTTCAGATGGAAGAAAATTCCGTTATAGAGGTTTTAAAGTTTGAAAAACCCATCAGTAGTTTTTTTAAAAATTTCCAGTTTTTCAAAATAAGAAAACCTAGACAGAGGGGTGGGTGGTGGAAACGAAGAAAGAACAAAACAATACGTATGTATCTCGTTTTAAGAGTATATACATATGATAATAACACAACAGAAACTACGTACATCGTTTGCCCATGAAGATGCGACAAAGAAGTTAGCTTTAGGACTGAACTTTATAGCGCTGACACTATCATCCGGGGGGGACGCAACTTCCACATCCTTCATCGGATTTTGTAATGTGCCTAAACCAAGGCTCAACGGCATTTTACTGCCAATGCTGCTGGTTGTGCTTCCGAACGTCGATCCAAACATTTTAAATTTCGACAAATATTGCTCGATTTTTCCGTGTTGGCTGTAGTATGGACCATGAGGGTGAACGTTATCTGTGCTTGCTTGATCGTTTGTTAATCAATTTGATACCGCTGCCCATGGTTAACGTGTGTGGGCTCAGGTGTTAAGGTTGACTGAAGCAGAGCGAGTGACTAGTGGTGACTACATTAATTACAGGGACCTAAAGATACACCAAATCTACGACAGATACGTGATATCACGTGAAGTAATAGCTATTGTAATACTGTCTTCACTTCCACAGTTTCACTACAACATAACTAATTAGAACTGGGTTTCTAATACTACCGGCTGATTTCATGTCATGTCTGCGTCGTAGATTTGGTGTACCTTAAGGTCCCTTTAGGTCCCCACAATCATTCACCTTACATGTTTACGAGAATATATTCTCAAAAGACGTCAAACGTCAAACGATAGTTTTGTGGAGCCAATCAAATTTCGTGTAACATCAGACGCGTTTGACGTCGTTAAAGGTCAATTACATGCGAAAATGAAAGCCTGTCCAGTCTTGCCGGAACTCGATGTTGACACAAGTCCAGTGATTCGCTCTTGGCTTTGCTTTTTCAAATCTTTTCATACCGTTTTCGGCAGACGTTGTCTTTCTTACTTTCCTTGCTTGACTGGAAAGATTGCTTTATGCTTTATGTCAACCATCGCCCCCCCCCCCAATACGCTTTCAAAAACATAAACAAATGAAATCAAAACAAAACATGAAATCTTCTCACTGCCGTACCGAGAGCAATTTGATTGGGGAGAAGTGCTTTTCATTAATTTGCGACAAATCAAAGCGAATAATTTACTAACAAAGCTCTTGGCGGTTTTTTGAACATCCGACAAAACGGAAATTTACCCCGAAAGTGAAATTCAAAGTGCAGATCGAATCTTGTGATAACAGCTAAGACCCCGCAAGGGATTGAGGTCAGGTGAAAGACCTTAGTCATGCTAATGCAAGATGTCTCCGTGTTGGCAACCGCTCACGAATTCGCAGCAAGAACAACGGATTCAACGACAACCTCGATAACGGTAAGCTCGTAGCATGACCACAGAGGCATGCATGACAGCATAGGATGACAGCTAGCTTGTTATTGGTGAAATCTCGCGCATCTAAATTAAATTACGCGATGTTATGTTTAACAATTTCCGCAACGTAATAATAATAATAAAAAAATTGAACAACCGAATGTTGTGTGGATTGTAATAGTTCAAAATTTCAACGTGTCTTCGACGAAACAGTCTCAGTTTCGACGCGTAATCCACATTGTTGCGTCGCAAGTTGATTTTGAAATTTGCTCGGCGTAACATAAATTAATATGGTATTTTGACAATTTTCCATGCAGTTTCGTATAGATTTGTGTAGAAAAAAATCCTCCAATTTCGCACGAATCGAGACAAAATATTACTGGCGCACAAAATAGCAACGTTGCTGATTGCTCTCAGTTAAATGTTCATCGTATATACATATCGAAAAATGTTATCTGATGACATTATCGAATTGTTTGGTGATCGGAACTTAGCGTGATATTTTGAACAGGAGTTAAACAAAGGATGATTTGTTATCTATTCTATAAAAAGCAGCAGCTGTCGTGACCACGTTTTGAAAGTTAAAAAAATGACAACGGTGAGGACAGCCATTATTGGCATACCGCGTAAACTCCTAAGAACTTTTGGATGGCAGGTGATTGTTTTTAGCAGAATTTACCCGACTTTTGAGTATGAAATTGCGGACTTATCAATCGCTCTTAAAGGCGATTTTCCCCTAGGGGAAATTTTTTTTATCCAACGAAATTCTTCGGTCTGATTTTCTTTTCAATTGTGCGAATTCGACCATAGCGGATTCCCTTCACCGGTCACAAAAGATTTCATTCGATGCCAAAAATTTCAGCAAAATTGCCTGAATTTTGCCAGTCGATAAAAATTTGCCCAAACAGGTGGGGCCCCAATACGTGTTTCTACGGTCGTAGTGAGATATAAAATGCGGCTTGTGAATAGATGCACTCGTATATCCCAACGTTTCTACCAAATCTGAAAGCGTTACGTTGTTATCATTCCAAACAGCACGTGTGCAATTGTGCGTCGAGGTATTCTATCAGTTTAATTAAGTGGCAATGTTGTGTTCCACAGCGCTTTGCATAAATAATGTTTTGATGTTTGCTTTAGCCATGCTCTAGCTTATGCAAAATTGTGTGATCTGCGTTCTGTAGCTTATAGAGCCCGTGATGTTGGAGAGATTCTGTCTCAAAGAAATATCCAGCCTGTCATTCAAAAATATATAAAAACAGGTTTACGAATTTAAAGTCCATATCTTGCAACACCAGCGAACATTTTACTACACTGAGACACTGAGACATCGAACTATACCACCCCGGTATCGTGTCCAACTTAGGGCCTAAAAACAAAACTTCATTTTTGCGCTCACTCGTGCTCCTAGGGGCCTGGACTTGCTAAGTCAATGATGAGTTCTTATGTTATTTTTAACATGTAGTTATTTTTAAAATTTTTGTTGAGTTAATATTCAGATTGCAATTTGCAAGCATACATACATGCATATTAGCTAGTAACGCGCAGATATACGGACTACAGTCCGGATATAGCTAATCTGTGGTTTTACGGACAGCTCGTCAACCAATCAGAATAGAGGATTTTGATTGAAAAGCCATCTAATGGTTTTATTATTACATTTTTCAAATAAGTTATATCAGTACTCTCTACTTCAGTAACCTTAATCATAAAATTTCGTTAATCAGTTAGCTTTTCGTCTTGCTTTTCCATCCTAATATTTTTAGTACAAATTTTCACGGAATAACTATATGACATATGTCCTTTTAAGCAAGCCTTTTTAACATGATACCTGCAGCACAACGGTCAACGGCAGGTAAAACACGCAATATTTAAATTCTAACGCCACCTACCAGTGTATCTATTATTTACTCTACCCCTGAGTTTGGAGCACGGATTTTGAGTTTCCAACGGCTTTATTTTTGTCGCGAAGAGTCAAACTTACAGAGATAAAGAAGGCAAGTAGTCTTTTCGATTATATTCTGCAATCTGTGGTTATCTATGATAAATATACTAACGGGAAGAACACTTGCTTGGCGAATGACTTGCAAGGCGAAGTCATGAGCATTTATAAACTTGCTTGGAAATCACGAATCGTTCATTTTCACCGGTCCATGCATGCATGTTTAATTCCTGAAGGCTGAAGGCTGAATAACACCGGGTGAAAAAGCGAATTTTTAGGTAGCTAAATAAACTGATCGCTTTCCTTATTAAAGGACATAATAAAAACTGTATGTAAAGACTATTTGCCTTTATTCAATCCGATTCTTCGTGTTTCATCCGAGATCGAGGGGGAGAAAATTATTGAGAATTTCGCTGTTGTTTCAAATTGCCTTGGCAAAGTTAGTATTTTTAACAGGCTGAAAATAATTTCCGTATACCGTAATGAAATTAGTAGGTAAATAACAAATACATTAATTAATTTACCATACTTTATAGGCAGCCCGATGACGAGTGTTTATTTGAAATCATAATGCACTACTGATGAGGTTGAAAATTTGAAAACTGATTCGATAAAAATGACATATATGTCATTAATTTTATACAATGGCAATGCACTATAAACTGTCGCTGACAATGTTGCTGACAATGTTCAGTAATATTGGTATATTGATAATACAGTGTATCTTTATCGACACGAAAGATAAAACCTTTGCAAGACCACCACATAAATCTATGTGAAGCGTTTTTTCAAGCCGTTGTGCATGTATCGGATTCGGTCCATAAAAACGGCATAAGATTTGTAAATTGTTACCAACCACACATGAAACGAGGTATGACTTCAGGAAAAAACGAACATTTAATGTTCCTTTAGCCCGAAAAAACGGCAGACTCAACGAACTCGTTCATGTACACCAAATGTAATTTATATCATAAATTCATAATACGTAATCATTGAAATATGTTATTTATTCCCAGTTTACTGTTTTTTAATATGAATAGTTATGTCATGACGGACTTTCTAAGATTGCAAGCACGTTCTTTTAAACTGCAAATATTATGTAAATAATTACGAAATTCAGCCATTTGGCTGTGAGGTAATTCAATTAAATCTGCCTATCTATCCATATCTACACGTATATATCCATGCATATAATAATAACTCGAGAGGCGAGAATACTCTTCACGCGCCAAGATAGATCTCGCTTCTCGACCATTCTCGACCAATCAGCAAGCGCGTACTATAAATGTTATATTATATGTCACTTTAATCAACCCACTGTTTTCGGCTCGGTTTGTGGACATTTTGTCATGACAGGGTCGACGTCTAAGTGATATATTGACTATGGATTAAACTTTCGATTTCTTTGTTATTCATCTAAATTGAAGATAATCGCGACAAGGAAACACTATTATTAATACAGTGTTATTAAATAACTTAATATACTATATTATTGACTCATATATCTTCGTGAAAAGGAATATCGCTTCTTTTCATAGAAAACACTGCGAAAGAAGCTAAGTGGTCCAACTTCATACAGTGCTATGGAACAATTCCCGCCCGTTTTGGGACATTTTAAAGACTTTTCTCGCTCGTTTTACATCGTCTTCTCAGTCCTAACCATCCTCATCGATGCATTAGTGATATCCTTGATCGCTGCCCGAAGATTTCCACGATTCGGACAAAGATTCAACGAAGTGACTGTCTTTAGTTTGGCCACGTGTGACCTGGTTTATGAAGCAGCCACGACAAGTTGGCTGTTATGGCAGGCAAGTGTATGCGAAGAAAATATTGAAAACTCGTGCAAGACGTCCATCTTAACTGGTGTTTATCTTGCTCTAAACCTTTGCACCGTTTTCCACATCGTCGTGGAAATCGTTGGGAAAATCATGCACTCAAATTTCGCTTTTCTGAATGTAATGTGGAGTGTTTGCGCGTGGATAAGCGCCTTTGGACTCGCCTACTTCGATTTGAAGAATGAAAACGGCTTAATGGCAGAAAACTCCATGATATTGCTTGGCCGTTTTAAGGCATTCGGACACGTCCTATTCGGCATGATATTTTTCGCTTGGGTTTTTGTAATTTTCCTGTCTTTCTGTTCGAAGACAAGGTCAAACGAAAGCAAGGCTTCGCAGGAACAGATTCTATCATCTATGGAAACTACTCTGAAAGAATCCGCACATCCTAGCGGGAGGAATTCGCGATTCTTGGCCCCGGACGACCTGTTGATATCCTGTATTATCTTGGCCTTTTTCGTCGGCTGGCATGCATGGGTGGTAATTGGGGTTGATAGTAGAGCAATGGTGGTCATTGAGGTCATGAAGAGTTTTGAGGTGATCCGGCTTGGTGTTCGCATTATGAATCCGCTGACAATCATATCGCTTTCTCATGAAGACGAGCGCTTTGAAGTATACAACTCATGAACATTGGCAATTTGCCGGGAAATCTCCACCGGATAGTTTTTTTCCCAGTCTTTTCAATTGTCCACGCATGCCAAATTGCCTGTAATTTTTTATATTTAGGATGGATTTTAAACCATGCTCGGCTGAAAACGACCAGGTTGTGCAATACACTGATATCAATGCATGAACAATATCGTGCTGCCCATAAAAGTTCAACAATATTGTTCAACGTTGTTGGCAAGTGCATGTGAACGATATTGGACAGCAAGGCATATTGTGCAAACTTGCTTTTTGCCGTGTAATAGACTTTTGAAATAATATTTCCCTTGATTCGTTTGCAAACTTTTAGACGATATGATCTGTAGTGATTACTTTTCGAGCCGATGTTTACAATTAACGGTTGACGGAATCATTATCTGGAATACAGGCGGTGAAAGTGAATAGATGGAAGTTATAATTAAAAGTCACATGCAAATGGAATTTAGTCAGTTACACTCAACAAATTAGACTTTCCTATCATTGCATGGCGTAATGTTATTTGGCTAGCGGCCTTCATGTAAGGATGAAAATATTTTGCCAGACGCGAACCTCTTAAAATTTCTAGAAAATTGAAATGAGGATTGATGTTCAACGCCACTGAGGTGTTGATGTGTAAAAGAAATGCATCGTAACAACGTGTTACGACCAAATTTTACTCATCGATCATCGATGCACATATATGTATGGTTTTATTTTACTGGGATTTCGTCTGCATGTTTATCGTATCAGACAGTCGTCACAGTCTGGTAGTGGAAGTCAATATTCAGACGTCGCTGCATGGTATGATATTTCGGCGATGAAACGTCGAATTGTTTGAAAAGTTGAGAAGAAAACGCATTCTTATTATATCATACAGTTACTAAGCATCGAAACTAGCCTGTCAGTTATTGATTGTCATTTTTTAACAGCATACTGTTCTGAATGAACGGTTAGAACTTGGTTTCCCGGGTAACCTAGCTTTGGAACTTATGAGACTTTCTAAAAAAAATACAGGCACAGCATGTTTCGTTGTGACGTGTAAACATGCATGCAAGGCTTATACTTGGGGGATTTGAATACATATGAATATAGGCTTAGTAGGCCGGTTGTTCGAAAGGCGTTTAGCTTAAACTGTGGATAAGATCAAAATGGAAAACAAAATTATCTATTTATTGAACAACTGAGCTGAAATAGCCCTGGGGCCCGTTGTATATCAAGCCCAGTTAGCTTAAACGGTGGTTAAGTTCAAAATAGAAAGCAAGTCTATATCGTTTTATTCAACAAGCAAACAAAATACAAAGATAATGTTTTCAACTGCATATTCAGTGCACAGCATTCAAGTTGACTCATTCAAGAAAAATGTATATATAAGAGTGTTTTTTAATTTTGACTTATCCAGCGTTTAAGCTTAACGGGCTTGATACAACCGGGATTATACGCCCCTGGATTTGAAAGGTTTGCCACGTAACATGATTAAGAGAGTATAATTTGCAACGACAACACCATCACATGATCCGATACTGTTTTTTTATGCTGTTACCTGAAAAAGCGTGACGTTCGCATTATGATATTTAAATCTTTATGATTTTGCCTGAACAATCTTAATGATCAAGGCGCGTCAGTCGAGTAACACAACCAAGACAACCGACAGTATATTCGACAAGGTTCGTCGCGGTTGCTGTGGCATTCACTGCCAAAAGAGGTTCGAGACACAATCTCACGAAGCTAGTACTTAAAATATTTGACTGAGGCCGGATTGAATCACTGACGACGGTCTCAGTGTGCAGAAGACATCGATTTTGCAATGGCGTCGTTCCCAAACGTTCTGTGCAACTTTCAAGATTATTCGCGCTCGTATTTCATCGCCTGTGCCTCAACAGCCGTGCTCATGAATTTCCTGGTTATGTTCATGCTGGTCGTTCAGAAATCCTCGCAAAAAGGAGTGGGATGCAATCGCGTGATGCTGTTCAGTTTGGCTCTGTGCGATCTCCTCTACGAAGCTACGACAACCACCTTGTTCTTGGAGAACAATTCTTGCAAGGATGTCGGGAACTGCCAAATGCTATATTTCTTTTATCTCGCTTTAAATCTATGCACGATGTTTCACATTTTCGTGGACATAATACATAAAACCATACTGGAATTCGGTCGTCCATATCACGACACTTTGCCCTCTCGCGTGTGTTGGAGCGCGGCTTCGTGGATAGCTGCATTCGGAGTTGCCTATGTCGATTTGAAGACCAGAAACGGATTGTTGGACGCGAGTTACATGGCGTTTTTAGGCCGTTTCAAAGCATTTGGATACATGCTCCTGATGGTCATATTTTGCTCTGGTATATTAGTTGTGATATTCACGCAGTTATGCACGGCGAAAGCGCCTGCAGCTATGAAAAAGTCGCCGTTTGAGAAGTTCCACCCCCCAAAGATGAACCAAAGAGAGATTGATTCAGCCGCCTCAGCATCGCAACGAAATTTCGACTTGGTTTTTACATGTCTCTTTATGTGTATTTTTGTCGCTTGGTGTGGATGGGTGATACTTGCGGTGGACAGCAGAGCGTTGAAAACCGTTGAAGTCATGAAAAGTTTCGAAGTTATCAGGCTGGCTGCGCGTATCATGGGTCCGATGACGATTCTCCACACGCTAGGCCATAAACGAGGACTTCTGTAGCGTGGCGCGCGCACTTGTGGCGAATTTTAAAGTATTCGTTGTTTTCCCAGAGTATGTTCCAGTGAGATATTGAACGTTGTAACATTGCGTAACGTACTTGTTCATGCATATTCGTGGCCAAGGACAACCTCTTCAGATCTCATGAAATACATGCAGGAGTCTTGATTCATTTGTTTGGAGTCTTTTTGTGAATTTCAGCAATGTTTGTAGTAAACCGATTTAGTTTGAACGCATGCAAAATCATCTAGAAGTTCGATTAATGAAGTATGCCGCATGTGAACAAAATGTGTGGTAAAATATTTCAGGCAGAAAAAGAATTCTTTGTACATAAATTATAAAGGCAGGTAGGCACTTGATAATTATGACATTTTTATTACAGATCAATGCAAAAGTTGTTGGTATAAAAAATAGCACTCGATGTTTGCTTTTTTGCCGGAAGGAACACGGTATAAGGCTGCGCTCTAGCGCCAAAATTGGCTAGCGGCTTGCTTGCATGGCAGCACGCAACCTATAATTGCCTGACCGCAGGCAATTAATAAAGCAATGTCATGCATGCACCTTCACCCGCATGCTAATCAGTTGCGAGTAATTTCAAGCAAGCTTTGTTTTCTCTTGGATAAGGAACATTTTATAAATGCGTGGCCGTTCCCGCGTTGTTCGCATATATCCTGTATTTTCACCGAAAAACAAAGCAAAAATGAAGAGTAAACGACATTGAAAGTTGCATGCGGTTATCTTTCCTGCAAACTTTCAGCTTTCATTTTCAAAGGATTCGAAGCTTTCTCACGTGCCATTGCGTGCAATTAAAGGCTGCTTTGTCGACGTGAAAGTTTCTAAATTGTTGGTTGTGAAATTAATTTTATGCCAGAAAAAACGTACCAAATCTTTGACGGAATCCAACCCTATGCATGTATTCAATCGTAGATTTTATAAGTATCATTTAAATGATGTGGCTAACGCTGATTTCTATAAACTCTCGAATGCAATCTTAACTCTACAACAACCTTCGCGTCATGATATTATATATAACTGTTCCCTGATATTAACTTTACCGCATAATATTGTAAACACAAAATTATACTTTCCCGCTAACAATTTGTAATAATTACAATGACAAATGATATTAGATAATATGTACTTTCTACTGTAACACAGGCCAAAAATTTATATTTTATATACTAAATTTTCTACAGGATTTCTGATGAATTTTATTAATATTATTAATATTATTATTCGCTATACTGGTTCAGTTCAAAACTGTCGATATTAAATTGTTATTCATAGAGTTGAAGATGAAAAAAAACAGGATGAAATAATGTACATTCAATAGTCTGTATCCGGGCTATAATATCTTTAGAGAACGTGGAGATTTACTTCAAAAGAAACAAAAATATTTCACACTGTCACATATAGCTACCAATCGATCACGCTCCTCGAGTGTCAGTATAACATTTATAATAATAGTAACTATAGATCTTATTTTAACAAAGAATAGAATAGTCTAACTGGATTGTAAGATTTTTACGATGGATGCATCCGACTTTGCTCCTTCAATGAACTCAGACATGGAAAGTTTATCATCAGAATTTTTATCCATTTGTGCAAATATTTTATCTGTGCGTTCCTTGGCAGAGCCACCCTCTCCATCCGTCTGAATCGCACCGCCCATCTTCTCAATCGCTACCATTATTTCCAGTAATTCGGGTCTGTATAGAGAAAGAAATTTGAAGTCTGTGAATTAAGGTTTGAAATCGCTCAGCTGAAGACGTCCAGCTGTAGAAGCCGGTATTTCAGGCCCTTGCATGTGCATGTTATACCAGTTGATACCAGTTATATCCAGTTATATATCAGAAGTTGATCGGAAGTTAACCTGACAGTTTTTATGCATGGGATTATCTCTCACGGTAAAGCTGGGGATCTCACATCAAGTTGCCAGTCGCATGCAAAGGACCCTACTGCAAGACCCATGCAGTAAATAAAAAGAATACTCATTATATACCTGCTAATATATCCATTTCCATTGATATCATACATATTAAAAGCCCATTTCAACTTGTCTTCCATCTTGCCACGAGAGGTCACCGACAAAGACACGATAAATTCCTGGAAATCGATCACTCCGTCTCCGTTTTTGTCAAACGCACGGAACGCATGCTCGGCAAACTTTGACGGATCTCCGTTCGGGAAGAAATTAGAATATATAGCTTTGAATTCATCCATTCCCAGTTGCCCCGTTGGGCAGTCCTTCCTGAAACCTTTGTACCATTCTTTGATTTCGTTTTCGTCGAATTCCGTCGTCGCCGAAAGGTCAGCCAAGATCTCTGGACTTAACTTACTCTGTTGTTTTCCCATTTCAACAGCGAGTAATCTGTATAAAGATATAGATTTTGCGGTTATACTAATAATTAAGTACCAGCTACTTCCAGGATAGTTGTAGCAATTATATAAAACTACACTGGTTCCAATACTTATTCCGAATTGATGCATTGTAACTTCTGGAAGAGCTTTTACACGAAAAAAATTCATAGATAGGGGGAAGATGAACATAGTTTTTCGTATATTACAATTTCATTTTACCAAAAAAATTTCACGGATATATGTAAGATTATTCTAAAGATGATAGACATTTAGATATTTGAAGTCCAAAAAATAATAGATATTTGAAGTCTAAAATATGTGAAAAATGTCGTAACAAATATCAATCACCCTTTTCGTAGTCTTATTAATTAAAGACATCATTATTAGCCGTACATTTTAATGAATTATTGTGGAATTTTGCTATTTATATGGCGTGCAGCATCTATTGGAAAATGACGAAGTGCGTGTTGCAAGTCGCAAGGAAAGTTGCACAGTGTACAGCGCCTTGAGGCACTCGCGTGGGGTTGCACTGTAGTATAGGTATATATCTAAAATCGCTGGAGAGATAAACTCTATTGTGCTTTGAGTTGCTTTGGGTGGATTACAGATTACTTGGTCATGACAAAGTCAGTTACTTTGTCTGTTATAAAGTTACATATAGTTGTGTTTTGAGAATCATGAAGAAGGATTCTATATATCCTGCGATATCGATCCAAGGCGAACGCCATGCATGTGCATGCATGATCCGCCGGCTTAGCGAAATCAGGATATTTAGGTAATGAATGTTTATAATAACGAAACGTTTGAAATAAAAACAAATTATAAAGTCAAAACAAGAACGATAAATTACACCTTGTTTACATTCGCGATGGTCTCCAATGTTTTACCCAGTGGGGTACTGACGGTTCTGGGGTCGAAGGCAATTTCAAAACATGCAGGGTCGTGTAGAGCTAGATCGCAATCAGCCATAAATCCATAATGCGAGTTTGATATATGAGCGAACCAAAGTCCAAAGGGTTTGAATGCGAATATACTATGAATGCATGTGGATATTACTTTGACGAGCAAGCTTTCCGGTCCAGACGCAACTCACAATCTTGTAAAAAGTGAAACCGTTTTCCTTTTATAGTGAATTGTACAGATATATACGTACATGCGCAGAGGTACATGCAAAGCGAACTATATAATTGCTAATTAATTGACCCTTCGCGTGGTCGAATTCACTTTTTGATGTACACTATACCATTGAGTTATCCAAGTGCATGGATGTTTTTGCCAGAGTTGTGGCACAAAATCGTTTGTCCAAACATGCACGGACATTTTTCCTTGTGCTTTTGACCCTTATCTTGCAGAACGGCGAAAGTTTGCAGCTGAATTTGAACAGTTGCATCTGTGAGCTGTTGACAAGATCTCGCTTGTCTGGGGTCAAACTGGGCGTAAGATGATTTTGAGGTGTCAAAATAGGTCTTCATGGAACCGAACAGGAACATGTTACTCTCAGGACAGACTGCAAAGATGCAGAGGATCGTGTTATATACTTTTTGCAATACCTTAAATTTATTCCCGCTTCTTTTAATCTCATATAAGTGGTATCAAGTATAAACATGCAGCCTCTAAATTAGATAAGTCAACCTTTCACCTCTCATATTTTGTCCGAGAAATTTAATTTGGCGTAGAGTTGTTTTAATTACTCGTGAATAGGAAATGAAGCAAATCTTCAAGTAGATTGAAGGATCTCAGAATATCAATGATGAAGGAAACAGTGCAAAATGACGGATTTGAGGGGAAATTATTATTTTAATCTATATGCAGTACTTTCAAACATGATAGAGAGGCGATATGATGAATGATAGAACAGCTGTTGATAAGATAGCTTACAAATTTTAACCATATTCAGTTCCAGCTTTGTTTTGGCATTTAGTTGTAAATGTTGTTTTTGCACTAGACGAGTTTGCTGTTGGCGAGTAAAAAAAAAATGAAAGAGGTTCACTTCAAAACATTAAGTTCAAGGCAGGAAAGCGAAGCGAAAATCAAACGAAACACGAGAACTGACAGGCCAGATGCATGGATGGTATGGATATAGATTCAGATTACGAAACGAATACGTAAAGATTCTCAGTGCTCATGCTGTCATGCAGATGCCTTATTGGCATAGGATGCAAATTTTTTATCATTTTTTGGATCACCGGGATATGTTCTGGCTTGGAAAATCACAGGCAAGGAATGCAACTGACATATATGCCCAATATAAACAAGATTTATCAAAGGCTTATCTGCATGCTGACTTGTTTTCGATTACCCGGCCGGCGGTGATATTTTTCAACTGAACTTTACTCTACAGTTTGAACGGACTGGCATTTTTCGAATGCATATATGCATGGCGTTAACCCAATTATACACTGAAGTGCTCGTTGACCAGGGTCAGAAAGCACTTTGTCTTTGTATAAAGGATGCATTGCATGCGTGTGTACCGCAGGTCACTTATACGAATGGCATATTTTGTGGCATTAATCAGGAAATTGAAATATATTTTGTGGATGGCTGTTTTAAAGCAACCTTAGGCTGTTCCTCTTTGCTTCCTTGCGATAGATAACATAGCATTAAAATAGCTTTTAAATAATATAGTATGTGACACGAATGATATATATAGCGATTTCTCCGGCCTTCTTGTACTTATAGCAGAAGCTATTCTCATTAACAATTTACGATTTCAAAGCAATTACTACATTATCCTATTTCAACACGCTCAGCGTTGAAACCGCGGGGAAATAACGAGCATAAGTATGGCGAATGAAGCAACTGTAATGATACCCCATCAACCTGAAACTATACATTGTGTCAGCATCGCTATTAGACATATAAATGCTACCTTGCATGCACGTTTGCTATACACAAGTATGTAAATAATTCATATTTTGAAGCTGATTGAAATGAGCATATGCAGTTTGTAGTATTCTGAGGCAGTTCCGATAGGTTTAAATCGTCTAAGGTCGTTTATCTACATGAAAACAGCATTTTAGGTTTTTCTTCATCGAGAAAAGGTCATTGAATATGACGAACTCAATAACAAATGCTAAATTACACCCATGAACTCAGCAAGCCATAAGGCGGCGTCTTGTTGAATCGCCACTGTTCTTGAACGCGGATTTGCTTTATTCATGCAAATAATATCTGTATATTGCCACGCAAAGTTCAAATACTTATGCCTTTCATAAACATGTGTACATAATACCTTTGTCTGGAATGACTGCTCTGTGTAAGGTCTCTCTACCAAGTTCTTTCAATATAGGATTAAAAGCGAGTCGCCCTTATCGGAGGATCTATCAACAAATGAATGATAGTGTGTGTTAGCAAAATTAGTCGGCTGAATTATGAATTATAAATGCTTTACATCACCCCATATTTGCATTAAGATGGATCATGATTTACATTTCTTCGGCTACTTCCGTTTATCACAAAAGGATGACGCTATAAGTATTTTCCTTTTTCACTTTCTTTTATTCCCAGATATGCGCTGAATATCGTAGCTAGCGGCTGCAAAAGAAAAAATATTTAAAAGTTCATCCCTTGCATCAGTCGCATGAGCTTATCAAAAATCACTAATTTTATCTTTTTAGGGACTTTCTGCCCCCAAACCAGCTTTTTTTTTCAGCAGCCTAGCTTTTTTTTAAACACGCTTGTTGGAGATGAATACTTAGGCGTATGAATCATCCTCAAATCAACGATAAGCAAACTCAATTTACTTGATATCATGATATGAGACCTTGTGGTACGAAACTCCGGCCGGCTTGCAGAGTTGCAGCTCTCCCAATGGCGATGTCATATTTTTGCTTCGTTATAACACAGTTAATAGAATATATACATGGTTTGGAGACTAAAAAAAGTACAATACAACTCATTAACTATGTTATTGTCCAGTTTTATGCTTTTGCATAAATGGTTGGCATGAACAGTGTAATTTTCCAGTGAGCCTTATCGCAAATTTTGGAAATCACAACACGTAAATTTACTTACACTTAACATTGAAGAACGCTCTGTTTTTATCTCAAAAACAAAAGCAGCATATCCACCAAGCTTATCCGAATTTATCTACCATTTATAAAAAAGGGATAATAATCACCAGGGTAATCACATAGCACGCCCCTGCCACCGACAAATAGCCTATCTGCCCGTTTATTCATATACCTTTTTAGCTTTTCTTCTGATATAAACCACGTGTGGGAACTTAGTCAGGAGTAAGAGTGTGTGGGATATTTAGCATAATTGCCGCAAATGTTTTCCCATGCCTCGAAATGATCAGTGATGGCGAGAAGGTTTATGTTTGGAGTATTAAATTCACACAAGGAGCGTCATAAATTGCGGTTCTTTCTTGTAATTAGCCTATGTTCCGGTAAATCGGGAGCTTGGAGTCGGAAAAGGTATAGACTGGTTACTGGATACGAGAATGGTACGAGTACCAGAACACCGTCTTGTTCAACTTCAAGTGCTACTTGCATGAAGTTTATATTAAGTACCCACTAACGCTGTACAGAACACGGGCGCAGACGCGGGCTGACTTGTGACGTCATAGAATGTTGAGTTGTCAGGAAAGCACAGTGCACAATAATACAAGAATTTGGGTTGTTTGGTCTTCTCAGGAGGAGATAATAGTGTTAAAGACCATTTAAAATCCTCATTAAAAGGTATGTCGAAGCTTATTTCATACCAGGTGTAACAGGCTATCCTTTCCTGCGTTTTGTCATTGTAAACGAGCCTGATGCAGGCGTGCTTTCATGCTGCATTTAGCGTAAGGTTTGTGGGGTTCACGCAGGAAATGCCGAGTAAACCTTTGTGCAAGTTACCTTCGGCGATCGTAATGTCAGAGAAATATCGTGGGGAAGGTTTCCTAGGTCTAGTAAATATAGTCTGATACATAAATGGTGGCATCGTGTTTTGTATACGGAAGAGCGATTGCCATAAGTCTTCCTATGAAGTGAAAAATATTTAAGCTGTTTCCAAGAGCTGTCGATAACGACTATTAGGAATTTTTAATCATGGGTGTCTGTTTGTCAACACCTGCTCGCTTACTTGGGCACAATTAGGTCGTTAAGTGGGTATAAATAGCCCAATTCCTTGCTTTTTTCCCCTTATCCAGAATCATCTCCTTGGTGCAAAAACTATGCAGTTTTTCATACAGACATTTAGCTGTATAAGTACCGTTTTGTTTGCGAAAATAATCATGCTGACTCAAATAGGATTCTGTCATGGCTCTCTACAAATCCGCTTAGCGAGATTTCAGCACAACATGTTCATGTTTTGCTTGTGTGCTTAACTTTTCAATCGCTTAAATGATGGATAATGACACATACGCTACAATAACAATTGCTTTTTATCCGATTTTTACGACCCCTATTTCTAAACCACAATTATACAACTAATTCATGCTTGAAATTTCAATACAGCCATTAGCATTGTCACGCAATTCCTTGCCCCCTATAACACCATTGAACTTATTCAACATCTCAATGGGTAATAAGAAAGTTGGCAACGGTTTTATGAATTTGGTAGAAAATCCCATCCCTATTTCTCACAGTAAGGAATTGTTTGGGGCATTGTCTTATGTAAAATGTATGTGCGTATTAACTATTGGCACATACAAATCTTCTAGAATCTTTTAAGTACATTTTCTATGCCACTTACAATGCACATGTAAATATAACACTTGAATTTCTATTTATCATGTATGTACAAATGTGTAAAAATTGAAAGTGTGTATAAAATTACTTTTGGGCCAATACCAGATGATTTCACATGCTATTGTTTTGACATTGCTAATATATATATAAATAAATATAGTAATGATAGTGTGATTTGGTCCACCAAATGCCAATACCGTAGCATTCTATAAATTGTCATTTTGGTTGCAATCTAAGGCCTGTTGAGATGTCAAACTTTTTATGTGCGGAATCAAGTTCAGACAAACTTAAACAAAGACTTTAGCTCATTAACATTAGGTTTGGCACATGAAAAGTTCGAAACAGGCCTAAGGGTTTAGGAAATCTGTTCCAGTTTGCTGTGATCATTATGAAAATAATCCTCAAATTTTTGTTCAATTATCTATTTGCAATTTGTAGAGAGTTTTCATATATGAGATAAATAACATCAATTAGCACTATTTTATATTAATAACCATTCTAGAATACACTATCTTTATTCCAATTTGATAACAAATGCTAAAAGAACTTCTGTTTATATTTCTGGCCATTTGTCAACACTAATTCCTGAATGTTTCCCAACATTACTTGCTAAGTTAGTTTTATTTGTACAAGCTGTCCAGTGGAACTCAGGTGTTAGCCCCTCCAGCTGGTTGGAATCCATTTCTATAGTTATCCAGCTACAGTAGAACAGATTTAATAACCAAAGTGCTACTGTGTGAAATAACCTTTGTAAACGTTTTGTAAACTCATTTTCAAGATAAGATGAGATGATAAATGCTGCAATATTATCCTTGAAGGGTTTTATGTAGACATTAATCTTTGTTAGCATTCATCTCATTGTGAAATGTGATAATGTTTGGTAAATTACATCAAATGAGAGCTCTGAGGGTTCTTTCATTTCTTCACATTGACTGCTTTAGGGCAGCTGTTTTTGAACTGAACAAACATGTTTTCTAGACTTGCATATAATGCGTCTTTTCTAAACTAAAATCGGTATTTTCGATATCTTTGGTATTCAAAAAATTGAATATCAAATATCAATATTTTTGAAATTTTGATATTTATCATCTTTATACCCTGTCATAAATCATAATACAAATGTACATTATAGTTAATGTGTTTCTCACAAGAAGTTGGAACAATTAGAAAATGTTTTTTTGTCTTCCTCTGCAGGTTGCCCCAGGGACTCAAGATTGGCAAAGATTTCAACACAGTAAGTAATCAGTGGGTGTTTGAAATTGGGAAACAAACATGTTCCTTAAAATAGAATTATTTGTTAGGCTTAGGGTTGATTTGATTGAAATGCTTGCAATATCTCGTATCACAGTATGCTGAATCTGTTTAATTAATGTATGACCAGGGGCAAGTTAATGCCACAGTAGAATACTAATATTTTCCAACTCCGACTCTAAAATTTTTTTTTTTTTGCGAAAGTTTTTTTTTTCAATCGTTTCATTTGCAAAATGATTTACAATGAAATAATCAAGGCTATCAAAAAAAAATATTTCTGTTCATAATTTAAAAACTATTTTAGTACATTTCCATGCATTTTTAAGGCTATCAAAAAAAATTATTTCTGTTCATAGATTTTTATAAAAACTATTTTAGTACATTTCCATGCGTTTTTTAATAATCATGGCTATGCCTTTGTCTCATCAGCGCTGGGTTAGTGTACTTATGCATGACTATATTTAAATATATGTCAACTCTGAACAATCATGTTTGATAATGTGCAGGCATTGTGGAGCAGTTGAGGTTTTCTTTGAGGGGGAGAAGTGTGCAGTGCAAGGGGGGGAGGGGCGCAGTGCAGGGGGGAGGTGTGTAGTGCAGGGAGGGGGGGTGGTGTTTGTGACTACCGAATGCATGAAAGTCTTAGCAGTATTGTGTACTGTAGCGGACATGGTTATGTCTTGGTTAAAATGTCGTACAGAAAAAAAGCTTAAAAGCAGTTCACTAATTTGAACTTATTGCAAGCCCCTTGCAATCACATAGCGTCCGTTTTGGGGAATTTCTCGAAAGGCAACCTTGAGGTTTTTCAGTTCCGTGTGCTTCAACCTAATCAATGACTTTTAAAGTGTTGAATGTTGTGCTTCTTTGAGTAATTGTGGGCTCCTTTGTTCTCAAGGAGTGGTCTTTTGTCTGATGTCAGGCCGACTCGTGAAAACGATTAATTTGATACATCTTGTTTTTTGAGCACGTTTAATCCCACGCATATTGCTTTATAACCTTGCGACAAAACAAATTATTTATCACTGCCTGAAAGCGTGTAATTAGCGAGTCAATTTTCGGTGAACCGCCGACACATAAAACCAGAGTATTTGGTCGCGATTAGATCGCCATTAAGTCAAGTTCGCGCGTGTTTTGCTAAATATTTGGTATAGGTATTTGCTAGTTTTTGTTTCTTCTCGTGACCGTTATAGCTGAAAACGACCACATTTCGCATTCTTTAATCGTAGGTTCGCTTAGATTTTGAAAGAAATAGAGGATGGTATTGACAAAAAATATTGATTTAACTTATTATACGTCACATTGTTCAGGTATATAAAACAGCACAGCTCACTGTCTAGTCTCCCTTAAAAATAAAAGCTAAAATTTGAACTAAAATGTCGTACAGATGCTTAAGGCAATTTGGCACTCGATACAATTTGCAATTGTGGATGCACTATCAGCTACTGCTCTATGTTAATAACGAGTTTCAGTTGTGGATGATGTCGTCATGCTGACGTCTTCACGTATACATTCCAAATATCATCGCCCGAAGTATGGAACTTTATTAATACTATACGAAGTACTATATAACTTGCAGAAAATTCGAGAACTTTTTTAACTTTAACCCTTAGATCTTTTTGAAAGAAAACATGTTGACCCTGGTTAAAAGTCTTAAGTATATAGCTAAGGGGCAAATTACACTTATCAAATATTCATACGCTATCGTGGGGGAAGATTTGCTACAATGTTTCAAAAGAATTAACTGATTGTTTTCATTGTAATCACGGTATTTTTCACATCTATTAATTTCTTCAAATTAGAACGAAGTGTTTATTAAACGACAGTCTTTATTAAACGACACAAGCCAATAAGGGTAGAAATATTTTGTACTGTATAGATTCTAGGGAAGGGGTTCTTTGCTTCAAAGCCTTCTTATTGGGAGGTGAGCTTCTCTTAGTGCGAAAATTTAGCCATAAGGTTTCTGATAGCTGCACGTTTTCAGATGGAAAGATCTTGTTGTTAAATAATTTTCATTGTGATACGAAATTGCGCCCCCTTCGATGCTGAATAATCATTGGTCAGCCATTTTATTAGCTCAAACTGTGGTTTCTCAATTATTTATTTAACATCGAAATTACGAGCAGCGTGTGGCACGTTAGGAAAGCGACAGCATGTGAACTGAACTCGTGCAAGGTCGTTGTGGACTCTTTGCCTCGAATTGTAAACAATGCTTTTTCATCTTCTGTCGGGTCGAGACTCGCCTGCAGTAAAGATTGTGCATTTCCATGAGCTACTTTAATGAAACTGCTCAACACGCCAGATCTTTTTCTGCAAGTTAACCTCATAACTTTTGATGGATAAGTAAATCGTGACAACACAATATAGGCCAATCCCACGTAAGCCTTGTGGAGTATTGCGAGGCTAAGGTAACTCGTAAACGAGATTTAGTTTGAAATTTTCGCTGGAGAAAGTCTCACTTTCCCACACATCCAGAATTTTACCAATCACACATTCCGAATTTCAAGGGTTTTTAATAGGTTTATGAATTGAAGTATTTCATTCAAATGTTTTAAATCGATCTTCATTCTGTGAATTTCACTTGCCTGAGTTGAAGCCTCCTCCACTAGCCGTTACCTGTACTCAGGCTGTAGCAAAACTCGCGTGACATCTTGAACCTAGGTCCTTGGGTACTTTATTTTGTCAGTTCAAAGACTTTGGTAATTTTCTAAGTCTATCCGTTGTTCTAATTCGATCGCGCAAAGCGAACATTTGACTGCCGCCATTCCTCCAGTTTTTCGATGGGAATCATCAGAAACTGAGGGCGTTTTCATACTGAAAATCGCAGCGAAAATTCATCATGTATACAGCTCCTATAGCCGTGATACTCCAGGTCTTGAGTCCACAACTTCGCGAGTCCAGTTCACGTTTTGTGCCAGATCTGATCTTCGCAACCATAAAGCGGCGCTGTCAGGCAAACCGAGAGAGCGTCTCCTACACACAGCCACGAACTGCAGCCCAGCACGAAAACTAAGCCATTCTTTGCCAGCACTGCTTCTCAAGACTAGCACACAGGTATGTTGAAAAAGTTTCAAACCACGAGAAGTGTTTACCGTATTAATTAGACAAGGGCACTAATGCAAGCACGACCTTGAACGCTTAATATACGACCCCCGTTCAAACAACATGTATATGTCAAAGAAATATAGTTCGGCAACCTTTGCTCATTTTGATATTGCTACCAAATGAATGTCGTTTAATACACTCGGTTTCGTGAAGAGTTTTGAAACCATGTATGTATGTCAATTCTTAGCTAACTAAGCAGGGAGAGCGAAATTTAACATTACAGCTAGGAGGAGCAGGTTTGAACTAGTATAACTGCAAAATTTGGTTAATGAATGTTGAGAAATGTCGAAAATATGGCCGTGCAAACTTCGAAATTTTTTTATTTCGCAAATGAAGATTTTTTCATTTAATGTGTGATTTCTGAGCCGAGGATTGCTTATTTTCCCATGTAAATGTAAAGATTTTTCAACCCCTAAAACCCTTTTTTTGTACAGCTGTGCCTATATGGTATTGGATTTTGTCCTTGTTTAAAATCAATATTTTGTTGTTCGGCTAATAGTCAAACGTCTGTCGAATTTTCCGATAAGATCTTCACATTACTTGTGTGGACTGCATCAGTGCCATGTGTTGTTGACGCGCAAATAGGTCCGTAATTCATAATTTACGAAAAAACCCGATAATTGGGCGTTGTGTGACGAGGAAACATGTGTTATGCGCGGTTGGTGAAATTTTATTCCAAGTTATCTACGTAAAAATCGTTGTTATAATCATTCTGTTATTATCAGTTTAAGTTGTTGGCACATTTATACTTCGAGCATTCTGATTGGTTGCTTCGTGCATGTTCTACTAAATTTCTAAATCGGCAGCAGTCGGAAACTATCGGTTAGTGCCGAACAATGCGTCGCTTGATGAGATCTATTTTTGTTCTTTAATATCAGAAATATCCTGGGATGAAACAGCATATTTGGCTGTTCTTTTGCTGAAATCGTTGAATAGCAATGAGTATTTTGATGCATGGCTTGTTGCTTCGGTTTTACAGAACTGTTTTTGAAAATTTAGCTATTTAATCTCGTCATTTTGGATTTCTTTCGACAATGAAAATGATAAAGGTTCGTTAGCCACGTCATTCGCTACCAGTTCACAAACGTTCGCGTGAAAATGTTATTCCGGAACCGAAACAGCTTTAATAAAAAACATCTGATCAAAATCTGATATTAATAATTATAGCAATGGAATTGACAGAAATAGCTGTATTAACGCCCGTCAAACTTTATGTACCTATATATAGTTTCAGCCAACTTGACCACAACGTAACCTCCCTGCTCCGTGGTCACACTATCGCTATCGCCCAATTGGTCTTGCATCCATCAATCCATCGACCGCTCACAGTTAATTTATCTCCAAGTTAAAACATTGCCGGGAGAGCATCATCTTATTCATCAATCGTGATGAACTAACCAAACCCACACATATACGGCACACGCGAAACCTCAGTCATAATATCGTTTATTAAAATCCCCCACCTTGTTCTTCACGCGTGAAAGCAATTCGCGTATAATTCGTAGAAGCAAAAAAGGCGGCAAACTAAACGATATTTAATTTTGCGATGAATTCCGTGTCCTTACTTCATGCGTGAAAGGTTTTAAGTACTCTGTGATTGCCACCCTAAAACGCCATTAAATGCATGTACATCAGCCAGGTGGATTTGTTGAGTCGAACGAAGCGACATTTTTTCTACATGCATGTTTGCCACGCGAATCGTATTATTTGTCCAGCTTTGGAGTACGCATTGTCTTTAACCATATCATTACGACATTAATAGTTTAAACAAACTTTATCGACGCAATTTTGTTTTGCACAAGGGCGCGTAACCAAGGCATGCATTGGGATCTCATGCGTGGCTCGTAGTAGTATGCTTCCTCCCACGCACGCACGCACGCATGCACGCACGCCGCATCCTAAAAATATTTATATTTACGCGACGCTTAATTTGCTTTTAATATTTTTCAGCTTCTCCAGCGATTGTGTGCAAACGGTCTGTCATGTTTTTTCCCTAATACATTAATATCTGTAATCTAATCGTTGCTAAATATAATCCCTAGGGTGCTCATAAAAATTCATGAGTTTCTTAATATATTATGCTACACGGATGACTCGAAGGCACTTGGGTATATTAATTGTGTTTCTTGTCCCTTTAGGAGTTTCGCTGTCCGATTTCCTCCAGGAAAGTTGCGTCGTTCGCGTAGAGCTTTGTGTGAAAGGACCGCCTTCGTATAGGTTTCAAAGTTATTCGAAGGGACTTTGGTGAAATAGGTAGGTGGCAATATAATTGAAATTTATTATTATATACCGCGTATAGGAGTTTTTATAAAGAAATTATATAATGTATCTGATAGTTGGGTGCTTCGCGTTGCAAATAAAACTGTGTAATTTTCTTTGTGCAATTACATACACATTGTGTGCATTTTGACAACAACGGTGTTGTATAAATATATAATATGTAATATATATTCTAAAGAAATAAAAACACTATGAAAATGCCGATTAAATGAAATTAAATGGGCAATATATGGGAATATATAATTCGTAGTATATTCTTGGGCCGGCTATTATAACTCAACAAGCATGAATTGAATGGAATGACCACAAATATTCAACATCTTGTCCCTACGCCTTTTATTGTTATATGTAAGGAGATTTCTTGCACATGCAGTCAATGATATCTTTAAATATACATAGAAAATTGAAGGATTTAGTCAAAAACGCAACAATTAATAAAGTAAAGATTTGTTGTCGTTTCTTTGTGCATGTGCATTTTTAATAGATACATGTCGGAGAGAGATGATATTGTCTGGTAATTTCAAGATTATATATTCAACGCGATGCTTATAAATATAGTTTATTTTCTTGTGTACATATGGATAATCTATATATTCGACGGGACCATTCATTATCTGCATGTATAGCGACTAAGGACTATATTCATTGCGAGCCATCTATTCGTTTCGATGCTATTTGTTGTGAAAAAATATATTTGATTTTATGCTTATTTGCATCGTCTTATATATTAATATATCCCCTGTTGCTGCCGCGGATTGTTTTGATCCCTCAATAGACTTTCAAACGCCTCACTAATCCGCAGTATCTGCAGATGTTTAAGACGCCTGCCTGAAGCCGAGGGAAGCGCGTTCAATAAATGTATATTTTCAAATTCGACATTTTTTTTCGAGGAAAAAGTACACGAGTACACATCGCGGTACAATGTCACGCGGGTTGCACGAGAAAAACATCGCGTAATTTTTCTCTTAATTTGTTGAATAACGTTTAAAGATTTGCTGTTGATAGCGAAACTATGGCGATATATTATAGATTTCGTGCTTGATATTACATATATAGCTGTCACTTATATCGTAGCCAAGCGTCGCTTCGGCATCAGTCTGACTGTCAAAATTGAACTGTACTCTTTGAAACACGCGGTGAAATGTCAACACACAATCTATACTCCGTACAGAAAACCGAGCGTAAAAGACTTGGAAACACTTTGAAACTTCTAGCATTTTGCTCGGACGGAAGCCTTTTCCGTGTTTCGAATTCCCTTTTCAACGAGATCGTTCGAAAACTTAGCACGCGTTCTTAAATTGCAATTGATTTCTGTGCTATCAATATTTGATTGCTGCCCGCACATTTGAATAAGTGCTTAGCAGCTGGCGGAAGTCAAGAATTAATGTACTGTTTTAAATATTCATTTTATTTTAAAGTGCGTATCGAAAAATATCGCATTTTTAAGACTAATACAGTGGGAGGTTGGTTTGTTGTTCATAGGCTATTTTAACAAAAACTGGATGTGCATCCTTTTTGGATGTGACAAATTCGATTTCCGTTTTTCCTCCTTGGGGTCTGGGGCTTTGCAATCAGCGCTCTTGCATGCAAACCGAACTGCAAGTCTGCGTTCTAGCTTGCACGATTGCATGCGTTGCAACTTAATACGTACATGGGAAAGCAAGTGAAATTTCATTACGACATAATTATATGAAATACTGCATGCTTAGGTCGCTGAAGCCAAGAATTTATATATAATTATGTTGGACTTTCACTATTAAAAATACCTGCATATACGGTCAGATGATATATTGGCCTCGTTGTTTTAGAGTGCCGCGTATATATGCATGCAACTACTGCAAAAAGGTTGTCTTTGTAAAAAAGCCTAAACCGTAAACTTTGAAACTTAAACTGTGAAAGCAAGATTCTATCAGTTAAGCCAGTGTATATCGAGCTATTTCTTCGAGGCATTGCGAGTATTTCGAACATTTTTATCGTCAAATAGCCGCAATGTTCAAGCAGGAACCTCCATGAAACTTTCGCTTTCATTATATTGCACGTTTGTTTGCGCGGTTACAGTTACAATCATTTCTGCAAGATAGCATGAGGTTTATCAAAAACGGCTCAAAGTTGTATTAAGATTGTACCCTCTCCCGAATTCCCGAGTCCTCGACCCTCGCGACATTCCTCTTGTATTGTTCAGCTGCCGGTATTGGGCAAAATGCATTGCAAAGAGCCGCGTGTTTGTGTAATTAAATGCTGTTTATCAAATGGCATCCCTGAGGATCGTTGAATTTGCCGCAAACTGCCACATGTAGTTTAGAAGAATGCAGTTTAAAAGATACTCTTGTATATATTATTGATCAAACCACGCACAAGTTAATAGCACAAATATCTTCTACGAAAGTTCTCCTAAGGAGGCGAGGTGCAAAACAAGCTCAAAAATGCCAATATACACCCAACGATGTAGTCACTTATCCTTACGTTCCATTCCTTTAGAAATCCGAATGCTTGGAGGAAAGAGAGTTCTTGAAAGTTCTCTTTTCGGAAGCGTTAAAGCGATACATTTCAAAATCTTACTGAGATATTACTGCCAATATAAAAAGTCGTAAACAAATTATATTAGCCCAAAGACTTTTTCATTCTAGCCCGCAATTGTCTGTACACGCAAATGAATTATGTTTTTTACTTGCAACCACAGCTGAAGAGACTTGCATTCAGCAGCCATCGCAAAAAAAGCGTTCACAAAATGCAAAGGAATTGCCGCTATCTTGCTAAACCCTCATTTCAAATGCATGCATGTTAGTCGCTCTGTGCATGCATGGAAGCGGTGTGATTCTATAGTCATTCGTGATTCCAAGGTCGATATGAAATTTTTTATTAACGTCTGCGGCCGACGCAACTTTGAGGCGCTCCTTGAAACTGCTGAGGTGTAAATTGATAGGCGTATTCCGCCACAACCTAGTATTTATGTTTCGTTACAGTATAGCTTCTGTCTTCGATCTATTTTCGATCTACCGACGCCGGTCGTCCAGGTCTAGAATTTAAGTTCCCCCAAAATCCTCATCAAAAAATAGCTGTAAATCTTCCGCCCTACCTGGGGAACAACAGATGACTTCTCGTTTACGTTTTGAATGTTTTATTCAGTGTTTCACTTTCCAAGACCAAGTAGCTAAACGGCGGTTAATTCCAGCGTGTGCGGGTGCCAGACCATCTGCGCGTAGCTTTATTTACAACTTAGTTTTTTGCTTTCTTTATGTAGATGTAGGCCCATGATTTTTTGCAAATCTCGTGTGCTAAAATCCCTTTAAACTTTCTAGGAATACTTTTAGTTCGTACAAATGGGTAAGCAGAACAGCAAACTAAGGCCCGAGGTTCTGTCGGACCTCAAAGAAGAAACCGATTTTAATGAGCACGAGCTTCAGGAGTGGTACAAAGGATTCCTGAAGGACTGCCCAAGCGGCCATCTCACCGTAGACGAATTCAAGAAAATTTACGGCAACTTCTTTCCCTACGGTGACGCGACGAAATTTGCGGAACACGTTTTCCGCACGTTCGACGTGAACCAGGACAACTCCATCGACTTCCGTGAGTTTATCTGCGCCCTCTCTGTAACATCACGTGGCAAGTTGGAGCAGAAATTGAAATGGGCCTTTAGCATGTACGACCTTGATGGAAATGGTTTTATTTCCAGGCGAGTGCTCGTTTACTTGTATTTCCTCTTGTATTACATCTCTGCCTGACGTTTTTCCTGTGATCTGATGATATTGCATGCGATATGTACGAAAGATAGATGGCGCGCTATCCATCTGGCCCCAGTTGTACGAAAGCTGGATAACGCTATCCACCGGATAGTGGTTTTTTCAATCCCCTCAAAATCGCCCGTTGTTTGGTATAACTCCGATTAAATCTTAGTATTCCTAAATTAAGGATCCTCGTTAATGATCGTTGGTTCCAAAGCTGAAATTTTATTGCTCTTCAAGCATTTTTAGAACGGTTGAAAAATCACTTTCCGGTGGATAGCGCTATCTAGCTTTCATACAACCGACCCCTGGGGCCGGTTGTTCGAAAGGCGTTTAGCTTAAACCGTGGATAAGCCAAAGTTTAAAATTACTCCCATACATCTTGTGAATGACTAAATCTGCATTTTATGCATTAAATATGTACTTCAATTGACAATTAAACTATTTACACCGATATATTATTTCAGCTCAATTGTTTAATAAATATATAGTTTTGTTTTCCATTTTGAAGTCCACCGTTTAAGCTAAACGCCTTTCGAACAACCGCGGCCGGATAATGATTTAGCAATGAAAACCAACTGAAATTCATATTAATTCTCACCAGGCACGAGATGTTAGAGATTGTCAAAGCTATTTACAAAATGGTCGGTACCGTTATGAAAATGCCCGAAGATGAAAGTACACCTGAGAAGCGAGTAGATAAGATCTTTCGTCAGATGGATAAGAATCTGGACGGCAAGTTATCCCTTTCTGAATTCATTGAAGGTGCAAAGAGCGATCCTTCCATAGTACGCCTGCTCCAATGCGATCCTGCCGCTGGTGCATCGGCGTGAAGGCTCGACGGATTCAGGGCCTCGTACCAAAGACAAACAAGAACACAATCTGCCGTAGGCGGGTGTTGATATATTCTCGGAATTTGGACTGTATATTCTATGATTTTCACGCATAATTCTGAGAATATATTTAGTTTTTGAAGAAAATTGAACATCGCGATTACTTTGACTACTTTATTATGGGAGTTTTTTTGCTGTGTATAATTTAATGTTTTTCGGAAATGTTGCACCCGAGTCATCGTTCGTAAATTTAAAAGGTGAATAAACCCACGCTTCAAATTTATCGTTTTGTGATTTATTTTACTCTTAATTCTTTAATTTCTCTAACTTTTTTCTACTTCATTCACACGTTCACAAGTCCTTAATTGATTTCTCGTAACCAATTAGAATAACGGTTTCTGAATACTTTGTCGACGGCAGAAAATAGTTGTGTGACTTCCCCATCAGTTGCAGCCCGCCTTGTCTTGCAAAATCATCAGCACAAGACCTTTTTGAGGCTAGCGCGATAGTTGTTCAACCTTGTGAAATATATGCAGGGACCAACGATAACTCCCAGCAGGTAAATGGTGAACACGAGCACCCTGATGGGATTCCAAGTAAATTCTGATGTTCCTAAGTGGTGGAATGTCCACAGCAGTGGTACCGTAGTTAACAGGACCACGAGGGTTATCAGAAATACAGTGAACAAGAATCGTTCTTCGCGCTTTAGTGTAACCATTTGATGATTCCTATCGGGACTTGGGCTTCCCATGCTTCGTCTTAATTCAGAACCTGTATGAACGGGGAAAACAAAATACGAGCCTGATAAATAAGGCAGGGCGGAGGGGAGGTCAGGCGAATAATCTCGCTAAAAAAGTTACCCGAGTCACAAGTACAAATTGCCCGACTTATTAATGACTTAAGAAAAATTGGTAGAATTCGATCCAAATTTGTCCAAAATCAACTTTTCTAGATTCAAATGTTCCTATGGTTATTTTTACGCCTCTAAATACAGCCTATGAACTTGACCAAATTAAATTAGGGTACAAACAAGCCATAATTCATTTCGCTTACCTTTGTTTTTCATCGTCCAAAAGGCGAGGCAGTGCAGGCAAAGCTTCATGAAGACTAATGTGCCTCCAGCGCTTATAAAGAAAAGGCTCAAGACGTTGTATAAGGTTGGCTTATAGGCGATCGCCAGAATCAGAGCCAAGGTACAGCACCATAGCACAGCGAACAACACCGGAACGACGTGAGGTTTCGCGTGGATTCGGTAACGAATCGGAAAGCGAATCGCAAGAAAACGGTCGAAAGAAACCAAGAACAAAGCCGTGAAACCAGAGACGGAAAGGACAACGAATATTTTTTGGCACGTCGAAAAAATAGCGGTCACTGATTCATCGAAAGAGGTCGCGATGTAGTACGACGCAATGAATAGGCAAGTAATAAGATCGCTGAACGCTTGTTGGGCAACCAGGTAGCTGGATATATTTCGAAAGCACTTGAGAGGATTTCGTTTGATGCAGAGAAGAAGTAGAATATTGATGCCGGCGCCAAGCAAAGACAACACCATGAACAGAATACTGCTTGGCTTATGGTTCTCAATTCGCGTCATCCTAGCTTTAGTAGACGTTCGAACTACAAAAATAACATGTAATTAAAGAGTTATAAACACGCTTGTTGATGTATATTATTTTTGACAATTAAGGAGCCTGGCCGCACATGTTACCTGATTTTTTTGATTGAACACAGGCGAAGAAATATTTAATCAGTTCGTGATGTCTTCAGTTTTTCTAGAAGGAAGAAAATATTCTCGTTTTGTCTGCATTTTTTATGGCGTATTCTTTGTCTAAGAAATGTCAAATAAACTCTTAATATTTTTCATTTTTTGATCGCTCTTGAATTATTGATCACATCGTCATCGAATAAACGCGAGCTTTTAACTTTCAATTACTTTTTCTGCCTTTTTTGCGGTTTGAAACGGGGCAACCAAGGCCAAGCTGAGCGAAACGTACTCGTTTACTGACGAAACTCGAATGAAAAGAGGTGCGACAATTTCTAACAGTTTTATGTCTCGTGATTTTGGATCGACCGGTACAAAATAAGGGAAAGGGCGAAGAAATCTAATAATTCACATGTCAATCAGCCAGTCCATAAAGTTCGGCTATAAAAAAGCCAGTAAAAGCAATATATTTCACACAGTTTCGACCACAAACAAACATACATCTGCTTTGAACGTCTTGTTTACTCACGTTTGACGTGGAGGAGTCTGAATCATGAAGCCAACTGTAGTGAAAAGGCCATCAATACAATCACGACTGTCACGTGTCGTGAAAAGCAATTTCACCTTCGATTCTCAAAGAATTATCATATAAATATTGAATGAAAATTTTTTTTAATTATATCTCGAATTCTCCACCTGACAGTTAAATCGTTATATATTACCTTGATATTACAATAAGCTTTCGAAGATGAATCTTTTCTTTATATTAACTAGTGCTGATAGGTTTTCAATTTATTATAACAAGTAAATTCATATATACAAAGACGAATTCATTGGTGAATTTTTAAATTCCATCACTTCATTGGCAATAGTTTTTGTGTGTCTCTTCAAACGGAAGAAAACATTTCCACATTAACGTTAACGGCTCACGACTCACGACTGAACAGCGTTTGCCCAAATTATCTGTATTCGATCAAACAATTGTGCTTTGGGGCAGCTGGCTCAGCTTTTCTTATCAAAAACAACCTCAGCAAAATTTCAACAACCTCAGCAAAATTTCAACTTCAATTTTAGCTATCTCTCATTTTCATTTAGACTAACGGTTTTAATCTAGATTATGCCAAATCACAGACAATTTTTAGGCGACTCAACGGAAAAACCACTCTCCGACTCTCGGACTCGGTTCAGTGAAAATATCCAACTTTTGTACAACCAACCCTCGATGATAACTACCAAGAACGACAGAAGTTGCTATATACTGCAACAATCATGTCTCCTTGACGTAAATAAATTACGGGGTTTCGCAGTATTTACTGCATCAGCAGTAAATTTATACAAAATATGTTTGGCTAATTTTAAACGGCAATACTTTTCACACTTTTCAATATTTCGATTTTCAAAAGTTTATACCGTACTTCTTAATTTCGCTAATTTTTGAACGATCTTTTAAACTGTACCGACTACTGTTGAATTTTCCAATCCGTTCATTGTTGTGGGTGGGGAGAGCTTGTAAGCTTGAGAAATAGATCGAAGGAATGCTAAATTACCATAAACTGACTGAAATGTTTCGAAGAGTTCCTCTGGAGTAGATGGTTTCATTTTGGTCATAAATCCACATACTGCGAACATACTACGCTATCGGCGCAGATTTGAGAAGTGTAAGTGAACGGTGAGCTTTGAATGCAGCGTGGGCCGTGGAGCGTAGGTAAAAGAGCCTGGCCTGCGAGGTTGAGCTTTGAAGTGAGCTATACCGTATTTACTCGATTGAGCGCCGCCCCCGAACGAGCCCCGCATTTGCGATAAATTTTTCTTAAAGAGCGTCGCCCCCGAATGAGCGCCGCACTCATTATTTTCAAATTCGGCGCTTAATCGACACACCGTCAGAATTGTTGAAGACGCTATGGTTTAATATCGTTTCTTATTCATTTAATTATTATATAGCTCAGTGGTGCGCACCGCTCTGACGTCACGTGATGACATCACCGCTCCATCTATTACGAACACTGATCTGTATGATATTTGTGAACTCAGCAACTCAGCTGTATTGATTTTTTTTTCTTTATAAAAATTGAATGTTTATTCTGTTGTAATAATGCGCTATTGCAGTACTCGTGGTGAAGTAAGCGACAAATCGTTTGAGGAAATATTATTTAATAATTTTACCTCAAATGGAGGCATTTTTATGCCAGAAACGATCCCTAATATTGATTCACAAACTTTGCAAAGTTGGTCAGAACTTTCTTACGTGGAACTGTGTAAAGCAATATCTAGATTGTTCATCTCTGATAGCGAAATACCCACGGACGATTTAAGTGGTGAGCGTCTATGATATATTAATAGTCTTTATGAAAACACTAGTTTGACTTTTTTGGTGTAAATAGTACTAATACTGATGATTACGCAGTTTCCAAGAATTTTCAAGAGCATGCACTCTAACGCAAAAATTCCTTTCTGGAACCAGTAACATGACAGCCTATAATTTGTTCTTTTTTTTACCTAATTTATTCATGAAGTCTGCAATCTCCTTATTTTGTTGACGACATCATTGACCGGCCAATATATCATAATTCTTGGAAATATTTTTTAGGTCAGTCGACCACACATTCTAATTAAATGAACACAACACTGTACAATTAAAATAGGTACTTGACTGAAAATTAACTTGCTCCTACCTTCACCTAAAATTTGATTTTTATGTCTGTGTGGCATTGTTATTTATGTCTGACATTATATGGATCAATGCACAGTAATAATTTTTATGTTTATTACAAAATCTAGAAATTATCACTGCCGCATTCACTGATGTCTTCGACCATAAGGATATAATCCCAGTTAAGAAGGTTGTTCAAGGTGTCTATGTTGCTGAACTTTGGCATGGACCAACCTTGGCATTTAAAGACCTGGCCCTAGCCTGTGTTGCTCAATTTATAGCATATTTCAACAAAAAGAAGTCCCGGCATGGTACTGCTATTGTAGCGACGTCTGGTGATACTGGTAGTGCAGCCATCGAAAGTATACAGCGATTCAAAAATATCAATATTATTTGCATGTTTCCCAAAGGTGCTTGTTCGAACGTTCAACAACTGCAGATGACGACTGTCGTAGATGAAAATGTGCATGTCTTTTCTGCAGAAGGCACCTCGGATGATATGGACATCGTTTTGCAGAGTATTTTGAAACAACCTGACCTTGTTAAGAAGTACAACCTGTTCACATTGAATTCTGGAAATTGGGCTCGAATTATGATTCAGATTGTCCACTATTTCCATGTTTATTTTCAAGTGCATCCCAACCCAGGTGATGAGGTGAATATTGTTGTTCCAACTGGTGGAATGGGTAATGTAACAGGTATGTTTCATAGAATAATTTGTATTATTTTTTTGTGAGACAATCTTGGGAGATATTGTATGTTAGACAATCATAAGGTAATCTTAGTTTTACTTTTTAGCTGGTTGTATTGCCTATCTTATGGGGTTACCAATAAAGCTGACATGTACCACAAATGTGAATGACACTGTTCACCGAGCAATATCTGATGGAATTTTTTCCCCAAAGCAAGTCTCAAAGACCATTGCACCAGCTATGGATATTCAGGTATTAATATTTAGATTTTTTAAATTGGCACACATCACTCTAGGGAAATTGCAAGTCTGTTTAAAATAAATGTTGTCTTTGCTAACAAAGTTGGCATAAGATAATTTTTTCTGGTATTTGATCAACTCCAATCAATCTTTGTGATGACACAATTGTTTTCATTGTTCTTCTTCTATAAAATTTCATCTTTGAATTGTTATAATTTTTTGCCAGGTACCACCTAATTTTGAGAGGGTGATATTTCTTCTCTCTGGTGTCAAGGAAGTGCAGGAATTTGCATCAAATTTTGAGAAGAATGGAAAAAGTGAAGTGCCACAAAATGCAAAGAACAAGGTGTAGTCTCATTTTTTTTTATTTCTATATAACCAACTGCATATATAGATTCATATTCGTAAGGTCAGTCAACAAAGATTTTGTGGCACTTCACTCAATGTGGGAAAATGTTTGAAAGGGTGTGATTCACATTGCCTTCATTCGATCCTTATAGATGTCTGCTGTACTAAGCTCACAATCTGTTTCACAAGAACAAATTCTAAATATTATGAAGAAATCTTGGTGTGAATGGAAATATCTAATTGACCCCCATACTGCAACGGGAATGCATTTTGCTTTCAACACAACCAGGTAATTGTTGCACAGTTTCCACAAATGGCACCTTTGTACTGTTAATACTAATAACTAGCTTAACATCATTTCACTTTTCCAGCATACAAAACGGTTCCCCTTCTGCTCATGTTGTTGTCTCAACTGCACATATCGATAAATTTCTGGAGACGCTAGAGATGCTTCAAATTGAGCATCAACCCTCCAAAAAAATACAGTCTTTATTTGAAAAGCCAACAAAATTTAAAGAGTTGAAGAAAGGTGAAAACTGGTATGAAATTATTTTGAAAACTATTGATGCCATTGATAGCAACCACAAAAATACTGTACAGGAGTAATTATTTAATTATTCCCATAGTATTTTTTATTGTACAAAATAGAGTTGATAATCTTAATGTTAAGATTACTTGATAATACTTGAGGGAAGCACACACATGCATACATAATATATTTACAATTCTTAACATACTCCATAGCAACGTTAATAATTAAATAGCAGAACCTAAACATGAAACGTTTCTACTAAGAATTCATCTAAACAGATGCCTCCTTGTCCTCAAGACTTTTAATATATTCATATTCCTCTAGAAATTAGAGAAATACTTGTCATTGTCAAATCAAGAAATTTTCAATGAAAAAAGTGTACATATTAGCCTGGGCTTTACAGTTAAAATATCACATGCAATATTACAACTTTCACCACTTTACTTTGCTCATGTCTCTCCATTGTTGGCCACTGACTAATAACTTAATGCAGTCTTTCTCTTCAGTCTTTGTGGCCACCAAAGGCCACAAACGTAATGCAGTGGCACACAATAAAACCGCAGAAAGCTATTCGAATCGCATTTCAACTGCAAGCTGTAGTATCACCCTTAATTACAGAAATGTACTATGACACAATGCCTTTAGGTTATGGTTAGGTTTACCTTCTGTCAAGGGTGCAACAGATAGTCTTGATTGCGTGAACAGAGATAGCGATTTAAGTGGTCCTCCATCTTCTTTGTGTTCCTGTTTGAAATTTATAACATCATAAAATTCTGACTTGAAAAAACCAGGAGAATTACCTCACAACAAAGAATACCTAGATACAATAGAGCTTATCGGAGAGTATATAATTCAATAGAAATTACCATGTGAATCTTCCTCAATTCCTTAAGAGATATAAATCTTTTCATCATCCTCACATACTTGACATCGACCATAAACCACTTTGGTTTATCTTTTGAAGCTTTCCTTCAGAAAAGAAATAAAACTTCAGCTACTTGCCTGAATTATTAATCTGGTAATGCTTCAATAACAATGGCATTTATTCAAATAGTAACAGTACACTCATACAGTACTGCATGCGTAATTTGGTACAGTAGCTCCAAAGAAGAGATGTTAACTGCTAATCGATACTGTATACTCACGGATCATAATGTGGATCTGCCTTATCAAACTGTGTGTGATCCACGTAGGACTCTTTCACAACCTACAAGGTAATAAAATTGTGTGATTCCATGTTTGATCAAATATCTTTCACAAGATTTTAGATCCACCATATCTTTATATGGAGGGCACTACATCATAAAAGATGTGATTCCAAGGAACTTTTATATGTTTAAGCTAATACCTCCATGATTCCAGCAATACCAGGTTCCTTGCAGTTGCTGTGGTAGAAAAATGCCAGCTCGCCAATCCTCATTTGATCCCTCATGAAATTCCTTGCCTATGGCATGCATATGCAGTGATTATGCTATGTATATTAGAATGCCATCTAGTTTAAATACAAAATCTACTCTTGTTCACTGAGATAAGAACCATTGACGTTGCCTATAAACATGTCAACATGATTTCAATTTTCATTTTGTAATGTACCTGGTAGTTTCTTACGCCATCCCAATGTGTTGTCTGATCAGTCGATTGCTTAAGATCTTCTATACCAAACTGAAAATGTTCTTCAACTTAATTTTACATGGACAACATGGAAGCTTGTTCATGCAAACTAAATTTTATACCAACTGGGAATCATTACCTTGACATCAACTCCATTTTGAATACGGCTTTCTGGTTCAGACTTCATCAGCCATTTTGTGAATTTCTTCACAGGCTAGTTAATTAAGAAAGGAATCAAATTAATGTCACACCCTTTATTAATTATTACCCACATTCAATCATTCATGATTCATATCTTGCATTTGATCACAATGCATTAGTATTGTGAGTGGAGAGCCACAACTCCCATTGTCAGGAGTGGCAGCATCAGGGTGCATGGGGAAGGCAAGATGAACCATTGATGAAGGTAAATGGGACAGTGCTCATGGTTTTAAATTCAATAGCCCACCTCAAAAAATAAATTTGTCACTACTAACAGACTAGGTCTGACAGAAGGCACTTTCAACTGTGCAAAAATTATGGACTCAAAATGGGCATTTGAACCTACGGTTCCCCTTTTTCTACTCATTAAATAATTCTGCCCCATATTCTCTAATTACATATCCTTGAATCGATCCAGTTTAATAGCGAACATACTAAATATATAAACTGGCAACCTCCACTTTATCGCTAGTAGGTTTTGGTGTTTCCTCGATTGAATTTTGAGCAGTTCGTCTCTTCTTTCTTGGCGGCATTGTGAAAAGTTAGAGTGTTTTCAAACTCAAAGCCCTTGGGTTAGGATCTCGTACAATGAAAGCGCGCAATTCGTATTGTTGAGCAATCGATTTTACGGGGGTTTACGGGGGGGGGAGAGAAAATTTCGGAAAGTCACTGGTAAATCTATTTCAGGTTTAAAAATAATATTGAAAGAAAAAATCAACGAATATTTACCTTTTAAAACAAATAAATAATTATTTTTCGACAAATGCTTTAAATAGCATATACCTGGATATATAAAATTAAGCTAAATTGCTGATAAATATTACAACCAGTTTGTAAAGTGTTCAACGTTCAACCCCCCGTCTGAACTCTGTTTCTTTATTTTCGTATTGCCGTCGAAATGGCTGCTCAAAAACTTGGAAGGTTAGCATCGAAAACAACCGCGTTTTTCTTATGTGACATGCAAGAAAAATTTCGGCCGTCCATACGATATTTTCCAGAGATAATAACAGTTGCTAAACGCATGGTATGTCGCTTTGATTATCCTGTTTTTTACTTAATGTTTGATTACTGAGTTGGACATTCACGATTGTATTTTAATGCTGTTTTTTTTCAGGTTGACAGTGCTAAAATAATGGGTATTCCAGTTATAGCAACGGAACAGGTAGAATATGCATATAATAGCTACGTTGCACCTGCACTTTTAAAGATTTTAGGATCATAGTTTAATTATAATTCACACTGTTTTATTTTCTATTTAGTATCCCAAAGGACTTGGTAGTACAGTAGCTGAGATTGACATGAGTGGTATCACAGCATATCCAAAAACAGTCTTTTCAATGGTGATACCCGAGGTTGAACAGAAATTGAAGGAAATGGAACATGTTAAATCAATTGTCTTGTTTGGAATTGAGGTATGTACTGAGCTTTTTTATTAGGTAAGATACAGCATATACCCATATACCCAATATATACCAGGATCCCAAATTCCATACTAATATATGGGGTACTTGAGAATTGAGATTGGATGATACTGTTTCAATAAACCATTTCAATATTTACCTAAATAATATTTCTATTTAAATCTGTATCGTTGGTATTGCAAAGTTGACACTTTCACCATTAAGTTAATTATTAATACTTATATGAAAATATTAATATGAAAATCTCCGTCTTTGGCGGTCAACATAAAGCCAGTGAACATAAACCCAGCACTATAATGCATATATACTCTTTATGCTCATGTTCATACATAAAAATTATGTTGCAAAATTGTGTTTTTGTGTGTGTACATACACAGAGTCTACTTAGTCTTTTAATTTGACAATAATAATAATATTAACAATACCAGTCATAATAATAGACTGATGCATACATGTGTAAGCACCATGAGAATAAAAATTAATATCACTTGTGTCTAGGCTGCCAATCTCTGTCAAAATGGTCTATATATTGAGCTCTAAATACACTATATAATAAGTATTTTATGATTACTGTTTTACGTTCTTGTTTCCATAGGCGCATGTTTGTGTTCAACAAACAGCTCTGGATCTTCTTGAACGAAATTATGATGTTCATATTGTTGCTGATGCTGTTTCTGCTCGTAGCATGACAGACAGGATGTTTTCTTTTGAGGTAAATATATTATACTGTAAATATATTATTATTTCACGTAATGTCAATTAATGCAGCTAATGAAAGCAAGACAAATGAACAATCTAGACTTAAATCATAGTAATGATATTAACAGTTAACTGCTAATTTAAATGAATATTTATAAAAAGATTTGGTTTCTTTTAGCGTCTTCGGCAATGTGGAGCATTCGTAACCACAAGTGAGTCTGTTTTATTTACTTTACTTGGAAGTTCAAAACATGAGAAGTTTAGGGAAGTACAAGCACTGGTCAAAACATCATCTCCAGATTCTGGGTTGCTATCAAAAGTTTGAACCATATTTGAACTTATAAATTATTGTAATCAAAGGTTTGAACTTATAAATGAATGCATAAATAATACTCCACAAGATTTTTATAAGTTAGTGATAAAAAACGATTACCATACTGAAAGTAATTACAAATATCAAGTGTATCAAGTTTACAGTCTATAGATAATTTAATGTAGTTTAGTCAAGTTTCTGCCAAAGGAATTATAATGGTTAGTTCATGAGTGGATTTATTAAAAGTTGATGTTGTCTTGTCCTCATTCCCTTCTTGTGGTAGTTGCAGATGGAGCTTCGGGAATTTGTCAGAATACAACTCAAGATCATACTAGATAATTGTAAATTTATAGAATATATAATATGCCTTGAAGACATTGTGCTAACAATGCACATTATTATAGACTCTACAGTAACTCTTGTAGGAAGCACAATAATTAGGGGACACAATGCACTTTTCAAAATATCTCACCTTTGAAACATCAAGTGCACATTCAGCCCCTGAGTTGATCTGTGGTAACTCAACCTTAATCATGATGCATTTGGGTTTTTCATTTGTTGCCTCCACCATCTCGATGTGATGCTTGGGGAAATTCTCCTCTTTTGTTACTTTCTCTTTTCTACTAGTTGACATTTCCTGGATTAGCAGCCTCTTCGGTTTATTTCCATCTCTCTTTTCACCAGGCGAGCCGTGAATTTTTCTTGCTATTCCACCTGCCTTTGGATCCTCTCCATTCATCACAATTTTGGAAAGTCCTTCAAGTATCGATCCACTCTCAGTTTCACCTGAGGTGCTATTGTCTGGTTTAGTTGTCACAGATGGTGCCTTCCCAAAGTAGCTGGTGAATAAATACCTCTTCAGTTCGTCTATATTTCCTTTGTATTTAATGGTTAGTATCTTATAAGCTGTAGATAATTTAATACCAGCTTGTTTCTCAATGTAGTCAAGTGCTAACGAGGCAACATATCTCCAACCTTGAATATCCTTCTTTGTTTGGTCAATGATATCATTGTGAAAACAAATATCCATGACAGAATGTTTCGAGTTGACTTCGGGTAAATCTCGTAAGTTGCTGGCTACCACAGATATTTTGGTGTCCCCCTCTTTAGGTTTCGATACACGTTCCCATTTGCAAATGTTGATGAAGACATGGTGATTGCTTGTTTCTGGTAACTGAAAAATAACGGAATACAATCTAGGCAATTGTAATCAAAAACGTACTTCCCACTGATCCCATTTTAAGCAAACTTATGATTGTAGCTCTTTTATATATCACCTATGGAATTGATTTATGTGATCAGGAAGACTTTCTGATGGGGCTTGAAGCTCTTCCGGTGGATGATTAATCAACTTTCCATACTATTAAAATCTTTATAAAGTATGCTATGCATTCATGTTGCTAGGTAACTTTAAGGACAACCCAGAGCTTAATAATTTGAGTTTATACATTAATGGCATTCTTAAAGCATAATTTCTGCTCTTTGCAAGAATGAAAAATTCTCTTTTGAACTGAAATTATATTTCTGGAAACTGATTTTATTTATTCTTACACTTCTACCTTGACAGTACGAAAACAGAATACTGCTTCAGGAGGCTTCCAGTGTTCTTTTTGTTCCTTGATAACATTGTCTATCAATTTTCTGTACCCCTCTGGGTTTGTTTCAGCTAGATCATCTAGCATTTTCCATAAGGTATCGGCTTGACCCAAAATTGACTCATTACCTGCAGCAGCTCCAAACTGGAATTGCGCATTGTCCGCCATCTTGAATTTTAACGAGTGTTCCCACTGGGAGTCATGGAACGAGACTTTGTTTTTTTAAAGTTTTTCAAAGTGCAAAATCTTTTTGACAGATTCTGGTTTTGAGTTTTGACTATCACATGTTCTAACATAAACTTGTAAAGGAAAAAGTATTAGTTTGAACGTGGGCACAGCACAATCAAAACGTTAAACCAGAAACTTCTGCCAAATAACGTTCGAAATAATGCCCAAATGGTCAATGACCCTGACCATTTTGGTCAATTTTGACCATAGGACCCCAATAAATATTTTTGAAATATTAAGTAAACAGTTTTTTGTCCAGTTACGTTCAGTGACGTCAGTGATCGCGAAGCATAAGATATAGTTATTGAGCTATAACTATAACTATATCTACTATATCTGTAACTTTATGCTTCGCGATCACTGACGTCACTGAACTCGCAAAGTAACTGGACTATTTCCTTATTATTCAAAAATATTTATTGGGGTCCTATGTTTTGACGACTATTTCAATGTTTCAAAAACCAACCCATTAGTCTTAAAAGACATTTAAAAACTAGTTAGGCTTACCCCTTACCATTTTGGTAAATTTTGACGACTTTTTGAGGTCTTCAAAAATGTCTGAAAATGCTAAAAATGGCTTCCTGAGACTAATATCTTTAATTTTAGAGCGTATTTGGTTGGTTTTTGCAACATTGAAAAATTGTCAAAATTGACCAAAATGGCAAGGCTTACCCATTACAATTTTACTCAATTTTGACGACTTTTTGAACTGTTCAAACACTGTCTTAAATGCTAAAAATAACTTCCTAAGACTAATATCTTTCATTTTAGAGCACATTTGGTTGGATTTTGGAACATTGAAAAATTCTCAAAATTGACCAATATGGTAAGGCTTATCCATAACAATTTTTGTCAATTTTGACGATTTTTTCAATTGTTCAAAAACTGTCTTAAGATGGTAAAAATGGCTTCCTAAGTTTAATATCTTTCATTTTACAGCACATTTGGCTGTTTTTTGGAACAATAAAAAAGTGGTCAAAACTTACCAATATGGTAAGGCTTATCCCTTACCATTTTGCTCAATTTTGACGACTTTTTAACTGTTCAAAAACTGTCTTAAAATGCTAAAAATGACTTCCTAAGACTAATATCTTTAATTTTAGAGCACACTTGGTTGGTTTTTGGAACAATGAAAAAGTGATCAAAATCGACCAATATGGTAAGGCTTACCCATTA